CCACGTGCACTATTAACTAGGCCTCACTCAGGCTGTGCCACGTGCACTATTAACTAGGCCACACTCAGGCTGTGCCACGTGCACTATTAACTAGGCCACACTCAGGCTGTGTCACGTGCACTATTAACTAGGCCTCACTCAGGCTGTGTCACGTGCACTATTAACTAGGCCTTACTCAGGCTGTGCCAGGTGCACTATTAACTAGGCCACACTCATGCTGTGCCACGTGCACTATTAACTAGGCCACACTCAGGCTGTGCCACGTGCACTATTAACTAGGCCTCACTCACACACACAGCTCACTCACACTCAGTCACACACACAGCTCAATCACACTCACAGCTCACTCACACACCGCCGCTGGCCGCCATCTTGTTGGTGGATGATGATGATACCAGTTAGGAGACTGAAGTTTACACTATGGGAGCCCTGATGAGGAGACTGCCAAACAACAGGGAGTGGCTCTTCTTCTGAACAAAAGAATGAAAGGGGCGTGGGAGCGTGGCGGTGAGGTGTGGGAAGCTGTAAGCCCCAGGCTACTTTGGGCTCGCCTTCCCATCAACCAGAGGTGAGGAGTGGTGGTCGTTATTTATGTCCTCACCGAAGATGAACATCAGCGGAGGGATGCAGGCAAGGCTGATGAGTCAGATGCCTTCTATGACCTCCTGTCACAGGTACTGTCTAAAGTGGCCCCTTGGGATAGTCATCCTGTTGGGTGACTGATTGAAAGGCATGGGTCAGATCAGCTCAATAACAACGGTAGGAGGCTGCTAGATTTGTTGTGCAGCCCATGGGCTTGTAATTACCAACACGCTGTTCTGGCATCGGCGCATCCACACAACATCATGGATGCATGCCGGGTCCAAGCAAGAACATCTGCTGGACTACATAATGACGGAGGTGCAGATGCGGGCCCATGTCCTTGACACCAGGACCTACCGTAGAGCTGATCTGTCCACTGACCATCGACTAGTCATCTGTAAGATGTGCCTGCTATTCTTCCACTCCGGTGGTGGGTGTACACCCGGGACCTCATTCAAACCCACAGTGGCCTGGTCTCAGCTAGCTGATGAAAGTTGCAAGCGAGAATTTCGTTATTGCTTGCAGCTGGGATTGGCATCGTCCCCCACTGCTCCAGATGTCGAGGGGAAATGGGCGAGGTTTAAGACTGTGGCTCATGTAGCTGCAATGGCTGCTTTGGGTACACGGTCCAGACCTCCCCAGAGACCCTGGCTGACAGAGGAAGGAGATTGAATCTGCCTCAGTGGCCCACGATCACAAATCGCTCTTTAATTCCATGAAAAAGTTGCAGTGCCACACCTATTACCATCATTAGGGTAAAGAACGATGATGCAATCTCTGACCCCCAGGAACAGGTTTGCAGATTTGCTGAGCATTTGAGGTCTTGAGGGAGGGGAAATCCTCCAGCCTGGAAAACATCGTGGGGAAAGTGGGGATAACCCTGCTAAGGCTGCTGTGCCTCAAATGTAAGTAGTCACCCCCTGTGAGTGGCTGGCTGAGGTGCCATCTGTTGAGGAAGTACTGAAGGCAATCCAGAGTTTGAGACCAGGAAAGGCACCGGGCAGAGATGATCTCTCAAGCGAAATGCTGAGGGAGGGTGGCGTTTGTGCACAGACTGCCCTACATGACATCATAACAGTCTGAACCACTGGACGGGTTCCGCAGGATTGGAAGGATGCCCTGGTGGTCCCCCTCTTTAAGAAGGGGGACCGCACAGACTGTAACAACTACAGGGGCATCTCACTCCTCAGTGTGCCGGGAAAGGTCCTGGCAAGGATTATTCAACATGGCCTTGCCAGGCACGCTGAGGAGAGGCTTGCGGAACCCCAATGTGGTTTCAGGAAAGGGAGGTCCTGCGCGGATGGCATAGTTTCTGTCCATCTGCTAGAGCAGAGGTGTAGGGAATTCCAACAAGACCTACATTATTGCTTTATTGACCTGGTCAAGGCCTATGATACAATCAGTAGGCCTGGGCTCTGGGCTGTTCTTCGTGCTTTCGGAGTCCCTGACCCTCTGCTCATGATCATTAAGGACCTTCATGATGGTGAGCGGGCCCGGGTAAAACTACGTGGCCGGGAGTCAGAGCCTTTCCCTGTACACCTTGGGGATGTCTGCTGACTCCCACATTATTTAACATCTATTTTGACCACATAGTTCGTGAAGCCTTCAATAGCTGTACCGGGGGAATTTCCATTTGGTACAGATATAATGGGAGGCTGATCGACGCCCAGGTGCGATCAAGGGATGGCTCCCTATCGGTCAACCACGTTACGTATGCCGATGATTTGGTAATAGCTGCTCATTCAGAGGAGTTGGAGACGCTGCTGCTGAGACTGGAGCGTGCCACTAAGAGGTGGGGCCTTACCATCAACCCCACCAAAACTAAGCACCTGCCTGGGTATTTTGTACCATCGGGCACCCCCACAACTCCCAATCGGTGATGGGGCAGTTGTGGAGAGAGTGGAGAGTTTCCCATACCTGGGCAGTGTGCTTATGACTGGCTCCAGTTTAACAGCAGAGGTCTCACTCCGAATCAGTCGAGCGGCAATATCTTTTCATTGGTTGCATAACGCTGTGTGGAAGCTACCTGGTCTGACGCTCCGCACGAAGCTTCAGGTCTTCTCGGCCACAGTCATTCCCACCCTTCTCTACGCTTGCGAAACGTGGACCCCCCTAATGGCGAATCTTCGCCGGTTGGAAACATTTAGGCTGGCCTGCCTACGATCCATCCTGGGTTTAACTTGCAGGCTGGATTGTGTGAGGAGCTCACAAATCCTTAAAAGATCTGGTCAAAGTCCCATCGGTGAGCTCCTCCGGCAGGCAAGGCTGCGTTGGCTGGGTCATGCAGCCCGCATGCCCAGCCACCGCATGCCTAAACAGCTTTTGTTCGGCCGGATCTAGGGGGCTAAATGGGCGCGGCACAGGCTAGAGAAGAGATGGAGTGACGTGGTGCAGGAGGACATGGAGCTGAGTGGACTTGCCGATGACCGGTACCAGCGGTGCCAAGATCGGCCTCTGTGGAGGAGGCTCGTGAAGGACGCTACTGGGCAGTTGGAGGTGTCGAGGTCGCTGGCCCCCGAGATCCCTCCCTCGATAATGCTAACGGCCGGGCTGACATCATTACTCGCCCCCCCGCTGCTAGGCGAACCGTTGCTGGGTTCCTCACCCGTGGGGTGGGAGCCGTCGCTCGAGGATTCCCCTCCAGCGCGGGTCCGGGTAGTAGGCATGGTTAGTTAGTTACCGAGTGGTATTACGTCCCCTTCACACTACCACGATACTTCCCTTTCCTAGTCGCGCACCTGTATCCTCCACGTAGTGAACGTACGCGCACACACGCAGCACCCTCTCCACACCTACACACAGCTCCACACGCGACACACCTCTCAACGAGATCACACGAGGCCACGATCAGCTATTAAGGATTTATTGTTTGCTACCTGGGAATCGATGTTAAATCAGTATGAATCGACGAGGCTGGCCTATTCTACTACCCCTGGACCTATTTATCGGCTATGATCCTAATTCACCTTCTTACTCACTGTTAGGTGCCCACGGCGGTCCGTTGATCCCGTGCTCGCAGCGTAACTCGATGCGTCTCACGGACGTCCGGGTCGCTGGGCTGGAGAGCGTCTTGTCGCCTGGTGCTGGAGTAAGGGAGGCAGATCTCCCGTTTTTGCCCCCTTTTATCCTAATTCCCGGACTCAGGCCCCCCCCCCCTTTTCCCACGCACTCTCCACTCCCCCTCCTACCATGTGTGGGGCAGGTGCCGTTCAATCGCTTTCTTATGCAGGATTGTCGCAGTTATGCACATTATGTGGCGGCGTTTCCTCCGACTAGGCTCCTATTCTTGCCCTGTCGATCCTTGCGTGTGTGTGGTGTGCAGGATTGTCGTAGTTATGCACATTATGCGGCGGCGTTTCCTCCGACTATGCTCCTATTCTTGCCCCGTCGATCCTTGCGTGTGTGTGGTGCGTTTCACCCGCGGTGGCCGAAGGGCCCCTCGCTGCGACCTTGCAATCTTAATGCCGGTCGCAGCGCCGCGAAGTAGCATCGGGGGAGGTCGTCCAATTCCCTGGTCACCGGAAACCGTGAAAGTTTATCCCGATAAGGGTTTCTCGGATTAAAACCGGTCGGCCAGGTGACTTCCCCTCGGAGCTCTATGGGGGGGGGAAATGCGTGCGTGTGTGTTCATGTGAGGTGAGGGGGACGCGGGGTTGGCTCCGTCGCTTGGTGGTGGCGAGGTCGTAGCTAGGGCGCCTGCTGAACGGCTTCGTGGCGGCGGCATCACAGAGGCAGTCGGCCTCCAACAACAACGGAGGGAGGAGGAGCGACGCTTACAACAGCGAGCGGAGCGCCGGGTGGCTAAGGCACAGCAAGTTGGTACAGTGGGGGGCACAGGTGGTGCATCAGCCAGTCATCTCGGTCAGTCGACCCATGGCACCTGCTGGGTCTGCCCCGTGACCTCCTGCCAGCGGGCGTTCGACACTTCACGTAGCCTCAAGGTGCACTTGGCCTGGCACAAGCGTCGTGGTGACGTCACTGCCACTTAGTGGCGAATGGCGGTTGTTGTTGTGGGTTGGTGAGCTGGGCGGGTGTGGGTTAGTAAGTTGGTGAGTAAGTTGGTGAGCTGGGTGAGTGTGGGTTGGTGAGCTGGGCGGGTGAGTGAGCAGCTCACGAGGTCTGCACCACGAAGAAGCTGAGCCCAGCCAGGTGCCCTGTGACTCGTCGCGTTTATTTTAACAAAATTCACTCCACCCCCCCCCCCCCACGGAGTAACAACAACAGCAACAGCCTGTCTTGTGGGTGTGTGTACTGTGTGTGTACTGTGGGTGTGTGTACTGTGTGTACTGTGGGTGTGTGTACTGTGTGTGTGTGTACTGTGTGTGTACTGTGGGTGTGTGTACTGTGTGTGTACTGTGGGTGTGTACTGTGTGTGTGTGTACTGTGTGTGTACTGTGTGTGGGTGTGTGTACTGTGTGTGGGTGTGTGTACTGTGTGTGTGTACGTGTCTGTGTGTCTGTACGTGTATGTGTGTCTGTACGTGTCTGTGTGTGTGTACGTGTCTGTGTGTACGTGTCTGTGTGTGTGTACGTGTCTGTGTGTGTGTACGTGTCTGTGTGTGTGTACTGTGTGTGTGTGTACTGTGTCTGTGTGTGTACATGTCTGTGTGTGTACGTGTCTGTGTGTGTACGTGTCTGTGTCTGTGTGTACGTGTCTGTGTCTACGTGTCTGAGTGTATACGTGTCTGTGTGTGTGTACGTGTCTGTGTGTGTGTACGTGTCTGTGTGTGTGTGTGTCTGTGTGTACGTGTCTGTGTGTGTACGTGTGTGTACGTGTGTGTGTGTGTGTACGTGTCTGTGTGTGTGTACGTGTCTGTGTGTGTGTCGAATAACAACAACGACGACAACAACGGTGGTGAGGGTGGTGGTGCCACCACCCTCACCACCACCACCACCATCCGCTCTCATTACCAAAGTAGGGCGGAACCAGAACGGGATCGTGAATGGGAACAGGATCCCCAACGGGATTGGGAATTGGAACTTGAACGGGATTGGGATCCGGAACGGGATCACGGAACGGGATCCGGAACGGGATCACGGAACGGTATCCGGATCAGGATCACGGGACAGGATTGGGATCCGGGAACAGGATCATGGAACGGGATCACGGAACGGGGATCATGGAACGGGATCCGGAACAGGATTGGGATCACGGAACGGGATCATGGAACGTGATCCGGGAACGGGTCCTGCCAGCGAAGGCGATGCCGGGGGGGGGGGGGGAGTTTGTTGCGCTCCATGCCCCCCCCCCCTCGCTCCCCCCGTGGTGCTCAGTCGAAGGCCGCTGTGGGGTCACGCGGGGGGGGGGGGGGGAGACAGCAGTGGATCACCTTGCAAAGAGACGCAGCGCACCACTCACACTCACCACTCTCTCACTGTCAGTGCGCTCGCCGCCGCCACCACCACCACCCCCCCCCCGTCCCTCCACCATCCTCCACTACAGGCCTCGCTCACTCAGCCACGCTCATGCAGCCACATGCTCACTCAGCCGCTCGCTCACTCAGCCACTCACTCAGCCACTTGCTCACTCAGCCACTCACTCAGCCACGCTCACTCAGGCACTCACTCGCTCACTCGCTCACTCACTCAGGCAGCTCACTCAGGCAGCTCACTCAGCCACTCTCTCTCAACCACTCACCCACCCACCCGCTCACCCACCCACCCGCTCACCCTCACATCTACCAGCTAAGGCCCCACTGGCTCCATTTCAGGAGCGACCTGGCCACCAATGACGGCTCTCTCCCTTGCGGCGGCTTCCTGTGCACCAGGCGAGGTCGTCAACATCTCCAGCAGAACCTGCTGCTGCTGCCGCCGCCGCCGCCGGAGAGCTAATCTCTGGCCAGTGGACACCGCACCAAGGCAAAGGTCCCCCCTAGCCCCGTGTAGCCTTCACAGATTTTTTGGGCAAGTGCTGTGAGCGTCTGTGAAGGCTGCCGGCACTGTGGCACACACAGAGGGGGTGGGTGGCCCCAGCACCACCACGCCCGGCCACCTTTGTCTCCCCCAGTGCTGCGATGTTTACTACACCACCACCGCTACACCACCACCGCTACACCACCACCACACCACCACCGCTACACCAGGTACTCATTTGAGGCCGATTCGACCGAGGGGAGGGCCAGGACCGGTTTCAGATAATTAATCGTCACCGGTGGTGGTGACCGTGAACTGAACTCGGATCGCCGGGTTCGTAGCGCTAACCTGTGCCACCGCTCCCCACACACGTGTTCACACACACGTGTACACACGCACGTGTACACACACACACGTGTACACACGCACGTGAACACACGCACGTGAACACACGCACAGATACCCAATCACACACGCGCTAACACACACAAGACACACACGCACAGACATACGCGCAGACACGCCGATACACACAGAGACGCACGCAGACACTGGCATGCACACACACACACGCACGCAGACACACACGCACGCAGACACGCATGCAGACACGCACGCAGACACACACGCAGACACACGCACGCAGACACACACGCAGACACACACACAGACACCGTACACAGACGACGCACACAGACACGCACACACGCAGACACGCACGCACGCAGACACGCACGCAGACACGCACGCACGCAGACACGCACGCACGCAGACACGCACGCACGCAGACACGCACGCACGCAGACACGCACTCACCCTGGATCTCGACTACCTTGACTATTGGGTCGACCTCTGCAGACCCAGCTACAGGCACAGGCAGACACACAGCCAGTCACTTAGTCACTTAGTCACTTACACAGTCACTCGGTCACTCAGTGACTGAGTGACCAAGTGACCGAATGACCGAGTCAGTCACTCAGTCACTTAGTCACTCAGTCACCGAGTCACTGACAGTCACTGACACACAGTTACTGACACGCAGTCACTGACACAGTCACTGCGTCACAACTATTTCAGTGCACACACACACAGTCACGCGTCGCGACAGCAGATACAAGGGCAATGCGCAGGCACCATGTACGTTGATCACAATGCAACCCAACCCGGCAGTGGACACCCAGGGCCATGTATCTGCTTCCACCCCCTCTGCTCAAGGAGCGGAACAGGAGGAGGAGGAGGTCTCCACGGCTGCTGTCTGCCTGATGATGTCGGTTGCAATTACCGACGAATCGTCGCACTCGGCACCGCAAATGTTGTGGATTTGCTTTCCAACACGCAGCCACCGGTGTGGTGCTGTACTAGTAGACTACACTACACTATACACTACTATACACTACACTCTAAACTACTACACTATACAATACACTACACTGCTATACACTACACTACTACACTATACAATACACTACACTACTATACACTACACTACTACACTATACAATACACTACACTACTATACACTACACTACTACACTATACAATACACTATACACTACACACGGGCGCTGTATTAGTAACGAATTGTGAATGTTGTAGTGGGTTAACTCTCCAACACACAGCCAACCAGTGTGGTGCTGTACTAGTAGACTACACTACACACACTACAATGCACACACTACACTTCACACACTATACACTGCACTATACACTACACTATACACACTACACTGCACACACTATACACACTACACTCTACACACACTACACTACACTGCACACACTATACACACTACACTCTACACACACTACACTCTACACTGCACACACTACACTACACACTACACTCTACACTGCACACACTACACACTACACTGCACACACTACACTGCACACACTATACACTACACTCTACACGACACTACACACCACACTGGCGCTGTATTAGTAACGAATTGGCACGTTGACGTGACAACCTCCCCCGACTCTCTACGGAAGCCATCGAACCCCAACACAGTCTCTACGATGGCGGCACTTTGTCACTGACAAAACAAAGGTCCCCCGTGTAGCCTTCACGGACTGCTGGGGCAAGTGCTGTTAGCAGCAGCAGCAGCGCCGCCTGTGAAGGCCGCCGGCGCTGCGACACACACAGAGGGGTGGGTGGCCAGCACCACGCCCGGCCGCCTTTGTCTCCCTCATGCTGTGAGGTTTACTACACCACCACTACACCAGGTACTCAGTTGAGGCCGAGTCGACCTAGGGGAGGCCCAGGACCGGTTCAGATAATCGTCACCGGTGGTGTTGGTGGCTGTGAGCGGGAACGAAACCCGGGTCGCATGGGTTCGTAGCGCTAACCGCTGCACCACCACTCCCCACTTACACAGTCACTGACACAGTCACTTACAATCCGCTGCAGATCGTCACACACAGGATAGTCACTTACGGATGGTTACACACAGACAGTCGCAGAGAATCACACACATTTAGTCAGTCACACACACACACGCGCGCGCGTGTGAATACAGGCATCATATAACACACACACGCGTGTGATTACAGGCATCATATAACACACACACACGTGTGATTACAGGCATTATATAACACACACACGCGTGTGATTACAGGCATCATATAACACACACACGCGTGTGATTACAGGCATCATATAACACACACACACGCGTGTGTGAATACAGGCATCATATAACACACACACACAACAGTCGCCATTTGCCACGAAGTGACGGTGACGTCACCACAGCACCTGTGCCAGGCTAGGTGCACCTTGGGGCTGAGTGAAGTGAGGTGGTAGTGGTAGTAGTGGTGGTGGTAGTAGTGGTGGTGGTAGTAGTGGTGGTGGTGGTATTAGTGGTGGTGGTAGTAGTGGTGGAGGTGGTAGTGGTGGTGGAAGTGGTGGTAGTGGTGGTGTTGGTAGTGGTGTTGGTAGTGGTGGTAGTGGTGGTGTTGGTGGTAGTGGTGGTGGTTGTGGTGTTGGTGGTGGTAGTGGTGGTGGTTGTGGTGTTGGTGGTGGTTGTGGTGTTGGTGGTGGTAGTAGTTGTGGTTGTAGTGGTGGTTGTGGTGGTGGGAGTGGTGGTGGGAGTGGTGGTGGTGGTAGTGGTGGGAGTGGTGGTAGTGGTGTTGGTAGTGGTGGTGGTTGTGGTGGTGGTAGTAGTAGTTGTAGTGGTTGTGGCTGTAGTGGTGGTTGTGGTGTTGGTGGTTGTGGTGTTGGTGGTGGTAGTGGTGGTGGTGGTAGTTGTAGTGGTTGTGGCTGTACTGGTGGTTGTGGTGTTGGTGGTGGTACTGGTGGTTGTGGTGGTAGTGGTGGTTGTGGTGGTGGTTGCACCCACCGAAGTTGCTGTAGCTGCTGTCGTAGTCGTCGCCTGCGGCGCGCTTGGCACTGCCGCCGCTGCTGCCGCTGTGGCCGTGCGACGATCGCTCCCTAGGCAGGGCAACCACACGCACACACACGCACACACACACGCACACACACACACGCACACACACACACGCACACACACGCGCACACGCACACACACACACGCACACACGCACACGCACACACACGCGCACACACGCGCACAGACACACACACCACACACACACGCACACACACACACGCACACACGCACACGCACACAGACACACACGCACACAGACACACACGCACACAGACACACACGCACACAGACACACGCACACAGACACGCACGCACACGCCACACGCACACACACGCGCGCGCACACACGCGCGCACACATGCCACACATGCACGCACACACGCACGCACACACGCGAACACACGCACACGCGCACACACGCACACGCGCACACACACGCACACGCGCACACACACACACACACGCCGCACACGCGCATGCACGCAGACACGCATGCACGCAGACACGCACACACACACCCACGCACACACACGCGCACACACACACGCACGCACGCAGGCACACAGGCACACAAACACACGCGGTGAGCTGGTGGTGAGCTGGTGGTGGTGAGCTGGTGGTGGTGGTGAGGTGGTGGTGGTGAGGTGGTGGTGGTGGTGGTGAGGTGCTGGTGGTGGTGGTGAGGTGGTGGTGGTGAGGTGGTGGTGGTGAGGTGGTGGTGGTGGTGGTGAGCTGGTGGTGGTGGTGGTGAGGTGGTGGTGGTGAGCAGTGAGGTGATGGTGAGGGGCAGGGGATGAGGGGTTGAGGGGGGTGCTGGTGAGGTGGGGTACTAGTGGGGGGTATTAGTGGGGGGTGTGGGGGGTACGAGTGGGGGGGTGGGGGGGGTACCCGTCTCTGCGGCTGCTGCGTTCGTAGCTGCCCCCCCCTCCGTCACGGCCCCTCCCCCCCCGGGACGAGGACGACGACCCTCGAGTCCGGCCACGGGATTCGTAGCCTGGGTCACATGACATCACGACGTTATCACATCGTCGTCATCATCACATGACGTCATCATCACATGACGTCATCATCACATCATCATCACATCGTCGTCACATCGTCATCACCACCACCACTAGCCTCACATCGTCATGATCACATCACCTCTGGGGTCATATTGTCATCATAACATCGTCACTCTCTCTCTCTGTGCCACCAACCCACCCACTCTCTCTCTCTGTGCCACCCACCCACCCACTCTCTCTGTGTCACCCACCCACCCACTCTCTCTCTCTGTGCCACCCACCCACCCACTCTCTGTGCCACCCACCCACCCACTCTCTGTGCCACCCACCCACCAACTCTCTCTCTCTTTGTGTCACCCACCCACCCACTCTCTCTGTGCCACCCACCCACCCACCCACTCTCTCTCTCTCTGTGCAACCCACCCACCAACTCTCTCTCTCTCTGTGTCACCCACCCACCCACACTCTCTCTCTCTGTGCCACCCACCCACACTCTCTGTGTCACCCACCCACTCTCTCTGTGTCACCCACCCACCCACTCTCTCTCTGTGCCACCCACCCACTCTCTGTGTCACCCACCCACTCTCTCTGTGTCACCCACCCACCCACACTCTCTCTCTCTGTGCCACCCACCCACACTCTCTGTGTCACCCACCCACTCTCTCTGTGTCACCCACCCACCCACACTCTCTCTCTCTGTGCCACCCACCCACACTCTCTGTGTCACCCACCCACCCACACTCTCTCTCTGTGCCACCCACCCACACTCTCTGTGCCACCCACCCACCCACCCACTCTCTCTCTCTCTGTGCAACCCACCCACCAACTCTCTCTCTCTCTGTGTCACCCACCCACCCACACTCTCTCTCTCTCTGCCACCCACCCACTCTCTCTGTGTCACCCTCCCACTCTCTCTGTGTCACCCACCCACCCACTCTCTCTCTCTCTGTGCCACCCACCCACTCTCTGTGTCACCCACCCACTCTCTCTGTGTCACCCACCCACCCACACTCTCTCTCTCTGTGCCACCCACCCACACTCTCTGTGTCACCCACCCACTCTCTCTGTGTCACCCACCCACCCACACTCTCTCTCTCTGTGCCACCCACCCACACTCTCTGTGTCACCCACCCACCCACACTCTCTCTCTGTGCCACCCACCCACACTCTCTGTGTCACCCACCCACCCACTCTCTCTCTCTCTGTGCCACCCACCCACACTCTCTGTGTCACCCACCCACTCTCTCTGTGTCACCCACCCACCCACACTCTCTCTCTCTCTGTGCCACCCACCCACACTCTCTGTGTCACCCACCCACCCACTCTCTCTCTCTCTCTGTGCCACCCACCCACACTCTCTGTGTCACCCACCCACCCACACTCTCTCTCTCTCTGTGCCACCCACCCACCCACCCACTCTCTCTCTCTCCGTGCCACCCACCCACTCTCTCTGTGTCACCCACCCACCCACCCACTCTCTCTCTCTCTGTGTCACCCACCCACCCACACTCTCTCTCTGTGCCACCCACTCTCTCTGTGTCACCCACCCACACTCTCTCTCTCTGTCACCCACCCACTCTCTCTCTCTCTCTGTGCAACCCACCCACTCTCTCTGTGTCACCCACCCACCCACTCTCTCTCTCTCCGTGCCACCCACCCACACTCTCTCTCTCCGTGCCACCCACCCACACTCTCTCTCTCTCTGTGTCACCCACCCACCCACCCACACTCACTCTCTCTGTGTCACCCACCCACCCACTCTCTCTCTGTGCCACCCACCCACCCACTCTCTCTGTGTCACCCACCCACCCACTCTCTCTCTCTCTGTGCAACCCACCCACCAACTCTCTCTCTCTCTGTGTCACCCACCCACCCACACTCTCTCTCTCTGTGCCACCCACCCACACTCTCTGTGTCACCCACCCACTCTCTCTGTGTCACCCACCCACCCACTCTCTCTCTCTCTGTGCCACCCACCCACTCTCTGTGTCACCCACCCACTCTCTCTGTGTCACCCACCCACCCACACTCTCTCTCTCTGTGCCACCCACCCACACTCTCTGTGTCACCCACCCACTCTCTCTGTGTCACCCACCCACCCACACTCTCTCTCTCTGTGCCACCCACCCACACTCTCTGTGTCACCCACCCACCCACACTCTCTCTCTGTGCCACCCACCCACACTCTCTGTGTCACCCACCCACCCACTCTCTCTCTCTCTGTGCCACCCACCCACACTCTCTGTGTCACCCACCCACTCTCTCTGTGTCACCCACCCACCCACACTCTCTCTCTCTCTGTGCCACCCACCCACACTCTCTGTGTCACCCACCCACCCACTCTCTCTCTCTCTCTGTGCCACCCACCCACACTCTCTGTGTCACCCACCCACCCACACTCTCTCTCTCTCTGTGCCACCCACCCACCCACCCACTCTCTCTCTCTCCGTGCCACCCACCCACTCTCTCTGTGTCACCCACCCACCCACCCACTCTCTCTCTCTCTGTGTCACCCACCCACCCACACTCTCTCTCTGTGCCACCCACTCTCTCTGTGTCACCCACCCACACTCTCTCTCTCTGTCACCCACCCACTCTCTCTCTCTCTCTGTGCAACCCACCCACTCTCTCTGTGTCACCCACCCACCCACTCTCTCTCTCTCCGTGCCACCCACCCACACTCTCTCTCTCCGTGCCACCCACCCACACTCTCTCTCTCTCTGTGTCACCCACCCACCCACCCACACTCACTCTCTCTGTGTCACCCACCCACCCACTCTCTCTCTGTGCCACCCACCCACCCACTCTCTCTGTGTCACCCACCCACCCACCCACTCTCTCTCTCTCTGTGTCACCCACCCACCCACACTCACTCTCTCTCCGTGCCACCCACCCACACTCTCTCTCCGTGCCACCCACCCACCCACTCTCTCTCCGTGCCACCCACCCACTCTCTCTGTGTCACCCACCCACCCACACTCTCTCTCTGTGGCACCCACCCACCCACTCTCTCTCTCTCCGTGCCACCCACCCACCCACTCTCTGTGCCACCCACCCACCCACTCTCTCTCTCTCTCCGTGTCACCCACCCACCCACACTCTCTCTCTGTGCCACCCACCCACCCACTCTCTCTGTGCCACCCACCCACCCACTCTCTCTCTCTCTGTGCAACCCACCCACTCTCTCTGTGTCACCCACCCACCCACTCTCTCTCTCTCTGTGCCACCCACCCACCCACTCTCTCTCTCTCCGTGTCACCCACCCACTCTCTCTGTGTCACCCACCCACCCACACTCTCTCTCTCTGTGCCACCCACCCACACTCTCTGTGTCACCCACCCACTCTCTCTGTGTCACCCACCCACCCACACTCTCTCTCTCTGTGCCACCCACCCACACTCTCTGTGTCACCCACCCACCCACACTCTCTCTCTCTCTGTGCCACCCACCCACACTCTCTGTGTCACCCACCCACCCACTCTCTCTCTCTCTCTGTGCCACCCACCCACACTCTCTGTGTCACCCACCCACCCACACTCTCTCTCTCTCTGTGCCACCCACCCACCCACCCACCCACTCTCTCTCTCTCCGTGCCACCCACCCACACTCTCTCTCTCTGTGTCACCCACCCACCCACTCTCTCTCTCTGTGTCACCCACCCACCCACTCTCTCTGTGTCACCCACCCACCCACCCACCCACTCTCTCTCTCTCTGTGTCACCCACCCACCCACACTCTCTCTCTGTGTCACCCACCCACCCACACTCTCTCTCTCTCTGTGTCACCCACCCACCCACTCTCTCTCTCTCTCCGTGCCACCCACCCACACTCTCTCTCTCTGTGTCACCCACCCACCCACTCTCTCTCTCTGTGTCACCCACCCACCCACTCTCTCTCTCTGTGTCACCCACCCACTCTCTCTCTCTCTCCGTGCCACCCACCCACCCACACTCTCTCTCTCTGTGTCACCCACCCACCCACTCTCTCTCTCTGTGTCACCCACCCACTCTCTCTCTCTCTCCGTGCCACCCACCCACCCACTCTCTCTCTCTGTGCCACCCACCCACCCACTCTCTCCGTGCCACCCACCCACCCACTCTCTCTCTCTCTGTGCCACCCACCCACCCTCTCTCTCCGTGCCACCCACCCACCCACCCACTCTCTCCGTGCCACCCACCCACCCACTCTCTCTCTCTCTCCGTGCCACCCACCCACCCACTCTCTCTCTCTCCGTGCCACCCACCCACTCTCTCTGTGCCACCCACCCACCCACTCTCTCTCTCTCTGTGCCACCCACCCACTCTCTCTGTGGCACCCACCCACCCACACTCTCTCTCTCTGTGCCACCCACCCACTCTCTCTGTGTCACCCACCCACCCACACTCTCTCTCTCTGTGCCACCCACCCACTCTCTCTGTGGCACCCACCCACCCACACTCTCTCTCTCCGTGCCACCCACCCACCCACTCTCTCTGTGTCACCCACCCACTCTCTCTGTCTCTCCCCCCGTGCGTGTGCCACTCACCGTCTCCCCTGTAGGAGGAGGAGGAGCGGGAGCTGTCGTCTGCCGAGCGTTTCGCTGGGGGGCTCCCCTCCACGTAGCCGGACGAACTCCTCTTGCCATGGCTCCAGCCTAGGGTGGTGGGTGGGGTGAGACGACACTTACTCGCCCGCCCACTCGTCGACTCGCTCGCTCGCCCGCCTGCCGTGGGCGATCGCTCTGGCGGCGACCACGGCTCTGCTCCTTGCTGGGCCCCGTGGAGATGCTGCGGCTGTGTGGGCAAGGGGTGGGGGGGTCGCGGCGGTGGCGACGGCCGGGGGGCTTCTTGCCGGCGAGCCTCTCTCCTTGCCGCTCGTCCTCCGTGGCACGGCAAACATCGATTTGCCGTCGGGAGCGTGGCAACCACCCCCTCCACCCCCCCACAGGGGACACTCCCCCCCCCCCCCCCGGTCTGCGGTGGTGCCGACGCGGCCACTTCTTGATCTTGACGACGCTCACCGCCACGTCCACGTCGTCCTTGTGAGCGGCCGCTTCTTCTGTTCTCCGTGAGGGGGGGTGGGGGGCAGCCGCTGTCGTCCTGCGTCTCAGCTGGGAGCATCGCGGGGGGGGGGGGGGGGGGGAGGGGGTGGGGGCCGAGTTGGAGCATCCTGACGAGGCGGCCGCTCCCATCCGAGGCCGGCGTCGTCGGGCGATGCCGGCGATGTCCGCCCCCCCCCCCACCTCCAGGACCGCCGGCGTGCCCCCCTCCCTCTTCCCGAGCGATCGTCGCGACTTCGTGCGAGTTGCCTTCTTCTTCGTCGCCGTCGCGACTCCCACCCAAAGCGTGCCCCCTCCCGCACGTGGTCCGGGTTTTATTTTTGTGTTGACCTGGGCACGTCGCCGCCATCTCGAAGGGCTCCTTGTCCTCACTCGGGCGAAAGCTCTGCCGGCAACGGCTCCGGCAGAGGCGGCGTGTCGGTGGCGGTGGTGGTGATGGTGGTGGCGGTGTTGGGGGCGGTGGGGGTGGTGGTGGCGGTGCGTTCCCGCGGCGATGTCGGCTTTAGGGGGGGGTGGAAGACAGACGGCCGCCGAGGGTAGGCGGGCGAGGGGGTGGCCGTCGTCAAGAGCGCATCGCTGGGGCCGGCGTTGTGTCGTCTGGTGGTGGTGGCTGGCGGAGGATTTGCGTCTTTATCCCCAACCCACACGGCGTAACGCCGCATTCTGGTACGGGGAAATTTGAGTTTTCAGGTCCATACGGCGTACAGCCATTAAAGTCTCCCATAGACTCCAATGTCAAAGTCTCCCATAGACTCCAATGTCAAAGTCTCCCATAGACTCCAATGTCAAAGTCTCCCATAGACTCCAATGTTAAAGTCTCCCATAGACGCCAATGTCAAAGTCTCCCATAGACTCCATTGTTAAAGTATCTACCCATAGACTCCAATGTTAAAGTCTCTACCCATAGACTCCAATGTTAAAGTCTCCCATAGACTCCAATGTTAAAGTCTCTACCCATAGACTCCAATGTTAAAGTCTCCCATAGACTCCAATGTTAAAGTCTCCCATAGACTCCATGTTAAAGTATCTACCCATAGACTCCAATGTTAAAGTCTCCCATAGACTCCAATGTTAAAGTCTCCCATAGACTCCAATGCTAAAGTCTCTACCCATAGACTCCAATGTTAAAGTCTCTATCCATAGACGTCAATGGTAAAGTCTCCCACATACTACAATGTTAAAGTCTCCCATAGACTCCAATGTTAAAGTCTCTAGCCATAGACTCCAATGTTAAAGTCTCTACCCATAGACTCCAATGTTAAAGTCTCTACCCATAGACTCCAATGTTAAAGTCTCTACCCATAGACTCCAATGTTAAAGTCTCCCACAGACTACAATGTTAAAGTCTCCCAAATACTCCAATGTTAAAGTCTCCCATAGACTCCAATGTTAAAGTCTCCCATAGACTCCAATGTGAAAGTATCCCATAGACTCCAATGTGAAAGTATCCCATAGACTCCAATGTTAAAGTCTCTACTGATATACTCCAATGTTAAAATATCCCATAGACTCCAATGTTAAAGTCTCTACCCATAGACTCCAATGTTAAAGTCTCTACCCATAGACTCCAATGTTAAAGTCTCTATCCATAGACTCCAATGTTAAAATCTCCCACAGACTACAATGTTAAAGTCTCCCATGAACTCCAATGTTAAAGTCTCCCATAGACTCCAATGTTAAAGTCTCCCATAGACTCCAATGTTACAAACCGTGTCAACCCACATGGTGTTCCCTGTATTCTTGTACAAGGAAATTTGAGTTTAGGTCCATACGGCATACAGCCGTTTCAATAAGGGAAAAATAAAATAACTTGTTTATTTGTGTTTCTCTCCTTGAGATGGGATCTACGTTGACATTTATACTGGTAGGAATGAAGTGGACCAGCCTACAATAGATTATATCGTCCGTCTGACCGTCCGACCGTGTAGCAACATCGCCCCCTACTGCAAACACTTGGCATGACCCTACAAAAACCTTTAGACTCAGTGACGCTTTCCTGGCTAAACAAGTGTAACATTCCCTTATAATTCCCTGAGATAGCTTTTAATTAAAACGTTTTAATTCAAATTTTACTCACAACGCCCTAAAGCCTACAGCTCGGCCTAAAGCCTCGAACTACGCCTATCACTCTCCCTTCGTATCGTACCCCCGCGTGTGTGCAAGGGAGTTAATGTTTAACAATGTTACATTCCCTGATGCTTTTAAATAGAAACATTTAAATTTAAAGCTTTTACATAAATAATAAAAACATTTAATTTTATAATTAACTCACGGCGGCCTAAAGCCTACAGCTAGGCCTAAAGCCTAGAACTAGGCCTCACACTCTCCCTTCGTATCGTCCGATTCGGTGTAGCAACATCGCTCCCTACTGCAAACACTTGGCAGGACCCTACAAAAACCTTTAGACTCAGTGGGGCTTTCCTGGCTAAACAAGTGTCATAATACATTATGTTCATATTCTTTGGTTAATCGTTCCTACCAGCCCACCCCGCAGGGTCCTGTTATGGCTTTATTTTGGTGATTTTTGAAAAGTTTTTCGGTTAGCCATGTTTGTTGTAGTACAGAGTTAGGCTGATGGCCTTAATCTAGGTTGTCTTGTGGTTGTTTTTTGACTCGCATCCCACTGGGATTTTTGCACAGTGTTGGTGTACGGTGCTTTTCTGCAATATTTTGCTGTCTTTTCTTGGATTTTCTGTTTGCACATAGTCACTTTAAGATGTTTTCTTGTTCATGTTTTTGTTTTTTTGTTTGTTGTAGTTGCACCCGATTCAAGAGCCGAATGGCTCACAGGGCTATACCTAATAAATGAACTTGAACTTATAAGGGCCACGGGGTGACCAATAAGGTCTGAGATGGTCTCTAATAAGGTAGGGCACCGATGATAAGGGGGTTGACGGCGTTGCCATACACAGGAGCTTGCGATGCCTTTGTGAAGGCATCCAGGATGCACTGCGGCTCTTCCTCCGAGCGGGCAGCGATGGCATTGTCATCGGCATGCCCGGAGGAGCCTCACAATGGAAGTGGTGGAGACTTTGCTCTTTGTGCCATGACTCTGTCGGGGGAGAAGATTCTTTCCCCGTCTGTTCTGGACAGGAATTTGGACTCCCTCGAGGCAGATTTTTTTTTGCCTGCGAGGTGGAGGATTGGCTTTGCGAGGTAGGCGCAATGACGCAGCCCTGTTCAACCTCACCCAGCCACCCACCCAGCCACCCATCCACCCACCCAGCCAGCCAGCCAGCCACCCATCCAGCCAGCCAGCCACCCATCCAGCCAGCCAGCCACCCACCCAGCCACCAACCCACCCAGCCACCCACCCACCCAGCCACCCACCCACCCAGCCACCCACCCACCCAGCCACCCACCCACCCAGCCACCCACCCACCCAGCCACCCACCCACCCAGCCACCCACCCACCCACGCAGCCACCCACCCACGCAGCCACCCACCCAGCCAGCTACCCACCCAGCCAGCCACCCACCCAGCCAGCCACCAACCCACCCAGCCAGCCAGCCACCAACCCACCCAGCCAGCCACCAACCCACCCAGCCAGCCAGCCACCCACCCAGCCAGCCACCCACCCACCCCGCCGCCCCAGGTATCCACCTCCCAAGGGTTTCCGTTTACCGCACCGCTGCTGCCGAGCACCGCGTCACGCAGCAGTCGCGGTGGCCCTCGTCAACTTGCCCGGGGGCGGTCGATCGTTTTTTGACAGAATCAGCCGGAGGGGGGGGGGGGGGCGTGACGGTTCACAGAGTCGGAGGCTCTTTGTCAAGGGTGGACAAAGAGGCGCGTGTAAAACCGGTTTGCGTTTGTTCCCGGCATGTCGCTTGAGCTCGCCGTACCGTGAACAGCACCGTCTGTCGTGCCTCTGCACGGGCCGCACGTCGTGAGATTCTGGGAGGGTATCTTCTGACGGGGTAGGAGTCCGTTTGCCGGGATGCGGGTAAAAGTATTTGTTCCCGGCGGTGGACAGGACAACCGCGGCCAGTTGGTTGTTAGCAAGCCTCGGACGGACGGTCACGAGGCGGTCGTTGATGTCCACGGAGAGTCCGGAGTGGTGGCCGACGATTCCGTTCTTAATCAGCGAAACCTTCCGTGGGGGCGGACGCCTTTTGCCGTTGTTCTCTGGTCCGACCAAAGTAGTGGTGGGTGGGTGGTGGTGGTGGTGGCGGTGGTGGTGGAGGTGGTGGCGAGACTCGGCCCTGAAGAAGGCTGCCGTCTCTGGTGCAGGCCAAACAGTTTCAAGGACAACGCCCAGATATTCCCGGAGCACGTTTAGTTGTTTGCACGTTCACCGCAAGGACTGTGTGTGGTGAACACGCAGTAACTCGACTCCGTTTGCTGTTTAAACATCTCAGTACACCTGCTGTCTCATTGCCACAAAGGGGGTAAACATCGTTTTTTTCTGTTGTCTCCATACGTGGGGCGACTGACGCACGGGCAGCCGCCAACCCGGACGGTCCGATGACGAGAGAGGAGGGATCAGGCTCCAGCGGCACGGAGGCCACGACGGACTGGCGACCTCCCCCTTCTGTGGCCTCCACAACCGTCGGCTCGTCGTTAACCATCCGGCCCCACGCGTCGCCCCCCCCCACGCGTCACCACCCCCCACGCGTCACCACCCCCACGGGCCACAACTCACCCTGGCTGCGATCGTCGTCCCCTCCTCCGCGCCGGTATCCACCACCGCCGCCACTGCTGCCACGGGAGCGGCTGTAGTCCCCGTATCCGCCACCTCCTCCCCCGTATCCGCCGCCTCCTCCCCCGTATCCGCCACCGCCACCTCCGTATCCGCCGCCGCCTCCGCTGTAACCGCCGCCGCCTCCTCCGCTGTAACCGCCGCCGCCGCCGTTACCGGCCCAGTCGGTGGGGCGGCCGGTGGCTTGCTCCACGGTGATGCTGCGGCCATCCAGGGACTGCCGGGCAAAGACCGCACGCACAACAGACAAAGGTCCCCCGTGTAGCCTTGGCACAGACTATTGGTGGGCAAGTGCTGCAGCGGCGCCTGTGAAGGCCGGCAGGGCTAACAGAGGGGGTTTGGTGGGCAGCGACCACACACACAGGTCCCCCGTGTCGCCTACACAGACTCGTGGGGCAAGTGCTGTTACAGCGAGCAGCGCTTATGAAGGCCGGCACAGCTCACAAGAGGGGGTTAGGGAAGCCTGCACCAGGCCCGGCCTCCCAGCCACCTTTGTCTCCCCCCTCGTGGCAATATTGACCAGAGCCCGCACCAGGCGCTCGTTTATAGCCACGTCGACCGAGCGGAGGCCCCAGGACCGGTTGTCATGTTCACTCGTGAACCGTTGTCGGTCGCCAGCGGGAATCGAACCCGGGTTCACCTCCGTCTCCCAGCGGGAGTCTGGTGCTGAATACACCGGCTCACTCCGTTGAGGGCCGAGTCTGCCGAGGGCAGTCCCAGCGAATCTCCCCCGAGACTAAACCGCTACAGCAGGGATTCACACACGCCAGTACCCGCAGACCACCACCACCACCACCGCTACCAACCACCACCACCATCACCACCGCCAACACCACCACCACCACCGCTACCAGCCACCAGGCTGGGTATTTGTGCATCCCCGTGTCGAGTCTCCCAACCGCTGGGCGGTGGCCCTGCGATGATGACGCTTGTGCCTCACAGCAAGTACCGCGCCTGGGTTTGATTTCAGACCCGTTTGTACGATCTCCCCCTGTTCTACACAGTGAGTGGAGTTTGTGCGATCTCCCCCTGTTCTACAGAGTGAGTGAGTGAAGTTTGTGTGATCTCCCCCTGTTCTACACAGTTAATGAGTGGAGTTTGTGTGATCTCCCCCTGTTCTACAGAGTGAGTGGAGTTTGTGTGATCTCCCCCTGTTCTACAGAGTGAGTGGAGTTTGTGTGATCTCCCCCTGTTCTACACAGTGAGTGGAGTTTGCGTGATCTCCCCCTGTTCTACACAGTGAGTGGAGTTTGCGTGATCTCCCCCTGTTCTACAGAGTGAGTGGAGTTTGCGTGATCTCCCCCTGTTCTACAGAGTGAGTGGAGTTTGTTTGATCTCCCCCTGTTCTACAGAGTGAGTGGAGTTTGTGTGATCTCCCCCTGTTCTACAGTGAGTGGAGTTTGTATGATCTCCCCCTTGTTCGACAGTCAGTGTAGTTTGTATGATCTCCCTTCATGAAAAATATTAGTCGTGAAAGCCTACGTGTTATACATAATGTGAATGCACAATGCGCATGCGTGATGCACGCACACCATGCATGCACATCCTGACGTATTTGGGTGTAAAAGTAATAAAATCGCAAGACGGACAGTCCCCGGGTTGCGGAAGACGCGACTCACGGGAAATCCCACCCGACGGAAATGCTCCCGTAAACGGTGTCAAAACAATTTCAACGCGCGGCAAGTCATGCGGCGCGGGGCGGGGTCGGGGGTTGCGGATGAATACCGTGGAAGGAGGGAGGAGGCGTAAGGCCGGGGGGCAGCCTCACGCCTCAATCGAGCTACACGAGGATTCAGGCAAATGGGGATCTCATCTTGATTCTGGGGGGAAATTGTTCAGTTTCCGACATACGGAAAATTCGGATCGTTCCTGGGAACCTAACCCCCCTTCCATAACCGGGGACTGTCCGTCCTGTTATTGGCTGCTCACAGTAAATCACCACGAGGTTTCGGCATGCAGCTAAACAGAGCGGTAGAATCACTTGATACTCCGCTTCAAAGCAGCACTACGCCTGCAGCTGTCACAACGGTTTACACAATTGTTATTTCTCTCAATTTCAATAGATTCTCTAATTAGTCTTGGCCAGTAGTAACCAGTTTTGCACAGAACTTTTACATTATCAAAATCAATTGGGTGTCCTCGTTGGCACGCGTGTTCTGCCACTCACCCACCGCTGTGTTTGGGAGTATTTAATATTCCTTTGGTGTTCGTTTAGTCTCGCGCTGATCATTTGTCCCGCCTGACCAACACAGCATTTTCCGCAGGAGCAATTAATCCGGTACACACCTTCTGTTTATAGCTTCTGTAATACATATGTAGTACCAGATATTAGTTTTTGTATTTTATGTACCATGCTAAGTCTCACTCGGATGTTTTGTTTTTAAAAAAATGTGGCTAGTTTATCAGTTACTCCCGCAATGTACGGTATTTTAATCGTTGTAATTGCTTTATCAGGTTTCAACGCTTGTGCTATTTGATTGGGTTTTGCCATTCAGTGCCTTGTTGATTTGTGCATCATTGTAACCGTTCAATTGCAGCGCTTCTTTAACGTGTTTAATCTCACTCCTCAGACTTTCACCCACTCACTCCACAGACTTTCACCACCTGACACTTTGTTTGCCCGATGTATGAGCGTCTTGATGAGAGAGGATTTCCTGCGGGGTGATGGTGTGACTGCATTCGGTAAACGCTGTGTGTTATTTTACCGTTTCGGTCGCACCCAAGCAAAATATCAGGAAATGGGAGAGTTCTATCAACCTCCACTTCCATGGTGAACTGGAAGGATGGGTTTTGCGAGTTGAGATGAGTGAGTGGAGTTTGTGTGATCTCCCCATGTTCTACAGAGTGAGGGAGTGGAGTTTGTATGATCTCCCCGTGTTCTACAGAGTGCAGTTTGTATGATCTCTCCATTCTACAGAGTGAGTGAGCGGAGTTCGTATGATCTCCCCCTGTTCTACAGAGTGAGTGAGCGGAGTTCGTATGATCTCCGCCCTGTTCTACAGAGTGAGCGGAGTTTGTATGATCTCCCCCTGTTCTACAGAGTGGAGTTTGTATGATCTCCCCATTCTCAAGATTAAAAGGGAGGGGAGTTTGTACAATATCGATGGCGCTACTACTACTACTACGCCTTTCCGGGTAAAAATCAACGCCGAGCCGCTTTGCGTGTTCCGAGATATGACGGTGAACGGGAGCCCACCCCACCCTGCGTCTTGCAGACGTCTGGGAATGGGTTAGGGTGCAGAGACGTTCAGCTGCCGTAGTTTCAGCGGCCGTTCGTTTAGCGATGGTGGCGGCGACCATGGCGGTGGCTGAACCTGGCCGGATCGAGAATGAACCGAAAGCATCCGGGCGAGGTAGGTGACCCCTTGGGAAATGAATTCAAATGGATCAGCAGGAGCCACGTTTTGGGAAATTGCGATCCTTAGGAATTGAGAAACGCTTGGAACGTCATGGACCATGAGAATTGAGAGACCCTTGGAACATCATGGACCAAGAGAATTGAGAGACCCTTGGAACGCCATGGACCAAGAGAATTGAGAGGCTTGGGATGCCATGGACCATGAGAATTGAAAGACACTTGGGATCCCATTGATCACGAGAATTGAGACGCTTTGGAACGTCATGGACCATGAGAATTGAGAGACTTTGGACATCATGGACCATGATAATTGAAAAGCTTGGGATGCCATAGACCAAGATAATTGAGAGACCCTGGAACGCCATGGACCAAGAGAATTGAAAGACACTTGGGATGCCGTGGACCATGAGAATTGAGAGGCTTTTGGACATCATGGACCAAGAGAATTGAGAGACACTTGGGACATCATGGACCAAGAGAATTGAGAGACACTTTGGACATCATGGACCAAGAGGATTGAGAGACGCTTGGGATGCCATGGACCAAGATAATTGAGAGACCCTTGGGACGTCATAGACCAAGATAATTGAGACGATTGGGACGTCATGGATAAAGAGAATTGAGAGACTTGGGACATCATGGACCAAGAGAATTGAGACACTTGGGATGCCATGGACCATGAGAATTGAGAGACTTTGGACATCATGAACCAAGATAATTAAGAGACCCTTGGAACGTCATGGACCAAGATAATTGAGAGACTTTGGACATCATGGACCAAGAGGATTGAGAAGCTTGGGATGCCATAGACCAAGAAAATTGAGAGACGCTTGGGATGCCATGGACCAAGAGAATTGAGACGCTTGGGACATCATGGACCAAGAGAATTGAGATGCTTGGGATCCCATTGATCACGAGAATTGAGACACTTTGAGACGTCATGGACCAAGATAATTGAGAGACGCTTGGGACGTCATGGACCAAGAGAATTGAGAAGCTTGGGACACCATGGACCAAGAAAACTGAGAGACATGGCATGTCATGGACCAAGAGAATTGAGACGCTTTGGATGCCATAGACCAAGAGAATTGAGAGACCCTTGGAATGCCGTGGACCATGAGAATTGAGACACTTGGGATGCCATAGACCAAGAGAATTGAGACACTTGGGATGCCATTGATGAGAATTGAGAAGCCATGGACCAAGAGAATTGAGACGCTTTGGACGCCATGGACCAAGAGAATTGAGAGACCCTTGGAATGCCGTGGACCATGAGAATTGAGACACTTGGGACGCCATAGACCAAGAGAATTGAGACACTTGGGATGCCATTGATGAGAATTGAGAAGCCATGGACCAAGAGAATTGAGACGCTTGGGACGTCATGGACCAAGAGAATTGAGAGACCCTTGGAATGCCGTGGACCATGAGAATTGAGACACTTGGGATGCCATAGACCAAGAGAATTGAGACACTTGGGATGCCATTGATGAGAATTGAGAAGCCATGGACCAAGAGAATTGAGACGCTTGGGACGTCATGGACCAAGAGAATTGAGACGCTTGGGACGTCATGGACCAAGAGAATTGAGACGCTTGGGACGTCATGGACCATGAGAATTGAGAGGCTTGAGACGCCATGGACCAAGAAAACTGAGAGACTTTGGACGTCATGAACCAAGAGAATTGAGAGGCTTGGGATGTCGTGAACCATGACAATTGAGAGACTTGGCAGGCCATGGACCAAGAGAATTGAGACCTTTGGGATGTCAAGACCCATGACAATTGAGAGACTTGGGACATCGTGAACCAAGAGAATTAAAGACGTCCGACGGTAAAAGATATTTCTTAAATGAACAATTTCAATTGTCCCACGCAGGGTACGGCTTCCGAAGGCATGAACGGGTGGGGCGAGCTCCGCTTCGACGTTCGCCGGATGTTTGCGAGCGAGACGACAACAGGCTTTCGGAATGGACGCGAAACATTTGAAACGAGGTCACGTGGTCGGCGGGAACACAACTGCGGGAGCGCGACCGTGACCCGGAGACGCCGATTAAATGAGAACCACCGACGTTCCACCGACGTTCTACCGACGTTATCGTCGTTTTCGAGTGGCCGTCAAGGCAGACCCCCTGGTGGGGGACACCCCCCCGCCCCATCGCCTCGTCGCCAACGGGCAGGCAAGGCCGGAGGGGAACAATGGACGGACTGGCCGGCTACAACGGTTCCGCAGGGCATCCCACGCCCGAACGTGGCGCCTTCCAACCACCGCGTCCGGAGGAGGGGGAGGTGAGGGGCAGGGGCGGGTGGGGGGGGTGAGAGACGGACGGAGGTCATCCACGCGCCGAAGCGTTGTTTGAACGACGGAGACGGACGACGGACGAGAGAATGAAATCGACGGCGAGACGTACTTTTCCGTTCAGGTCTTTGGCGGCGTCTTTGGCATCGTCGGGATTCTCAAAAGTGACGAAAGCGAAGCCTCGGGACCTGTTAGTCTCGCGGTCCTTCAGCAACAGCACTGATGGAGCAGATCAACGAGAACAAGGTGCGCAGAGACTCATCACGACGGGGGACCGCCGGGGGGTCTCTCATGGCGCCGCCACCACCACCACCATTGCTAACACTACCACCACCATCACTAACACTACCACCATTGCTAACACTACCACCATTGCTAACACTACCACCGCCACCACTAACACACTACCACCACTGCTAACACTACCACCGCCACCAACACCGCCACCACTAACACTATCACCTCCACTAACACCACCACCATCGCTAACACTACCACTACCATCGCTAATACTACCACTAACACCACTACTAACACCACCACTGCTAACACTACTACCGCCAAAAAAACCGCCACCACTAACACTATCACCTCCACTAACACCACCATTGCTAACACCACCACCATCGCTAACACTACCACCATCGCTACCACTACCACCAACACTGCTAACACTACTACCGCCACTAACACCGCCACCACTAACACTATCACCTCCACTAACACCACCACCATTGCTAACACTACCACCGCCACTAACACCACCACTGCCACAACCACCGCCATCATTAACACTACCACCACCGCTGACACTACCACGAACACCACCACAGCTAAGACAACCACCACCGCTAAACACTACCACCACCGCTAACACCACCGCTAACACCACAACTACCACTACCGCCGCCGCTAACAACACCACCACTGCCACGAACGCGAACACTACCACAACCACTAACACCACCACTGCCACAACCACCGCCATCATTAACACTACCACCACCGCTAATACTACCACCACCACCGCTAACACTACCACCACCACCGCTAACACTACCACTAACACCACCACAGCTAAGACAACCACCACCGCTAAACACCACCGCCGCCGCTAACACTACCACCACCACCGCTAATACTACCACCACCACCGCTAACACTACCACTAACACCACCACAGCTAAGACAACCACCACCGCTAAACACCACCGCCGCCGCTAACACTACCACCACCACTGCTAATACTACCACCACCACCGCTAACACTACCACTAACACCACCACAGCTAAGACAACCACCACCGCTAAACACCACCGCCGCCGCTAACAACACCACCACCACTACAACTACCACCACCACCGCCGCCGCTAACAACACCACCACCACCGCCGCTAACAACACCACCACCACTACTACCACTACCACCACCGCCGCCGCTAACAACACCACCACTGCCACGAGCGCTAACACTACCACCACCACTAACACCACCACTGCCACCACCACCGCCAAGACTACCACCACTATGAACACTTCCACCACTACCGCTAACGCTACCACCATCACCATCCCTAACATTACCACTAACACTACCACCGCTAATACCACCAACACTGCCACCACCGCTACCACCACAAACACTATTATGACTAACACTACCACTAACACTCCCTCCACTGTCACTACCGCTAACACTCCTTCCACCATCACTACCGCTACCGATATCGCCACTATCACCACCACAAACAATACCACAACACTACCAACACCACTACCTCTAACACTACCACCACCACCACCGCCGCCACCACCGTCGCCACCACCTGGTGCACCGTTGCCGTGAGCTGTGCCTCCTGGCTCCATGGTCTCCACACGTTCCTTGAAACATGGGACGCTTTCTCAGAGACGGTTAATTGCACTGGTTGAACTGGCTGCACTGATTGGACTGGTTGCACTGATTGGATTGGTTGCACCGACTGGACTGGTTGCAATGACTATAGGAAGAGTTGACGGGAGTGAGATGCCTGAATGGAAGCCAAACATCCAAGGATGCGAAATAAGAATCATCTTGTTCTTCAATTTGATAGAGACCCACAGACTCACACAGGGAACCACACTCACACAGAGACCCACAGACGCCGATAAACTCACACGGATAACCGATGTTTGTGTTTAGCTCGTTGTCCTTCCCCCGCACCTCCGATTAGCACGGTTGGTTCAGTATGGTGCGAAAGACGTTCCAAATGCATAGACACCCGCAGACTCACACAGAAACCCACAGACTCACACAGAAACCCCAAAACACCCAGACTCACACAGAAACCCACAGACTCACACAGTGATGCACAGACTCAGTCAGACAAATCTATAAATTCACACAGACTCACAGAGACCCACAGACTCACAACAAAAAGACCCAGACACACACAGGGGCCTAGAGGGTGGCATGGTTGGCATGGTTGGCATGGTTGGCATGGGACGAGAATTGAGATGGGCTCCACCCCTGCCCAGTGTCTTTCTTCTTAGCCCGGGCACCTGGGGGGGCCTCTCCACCTGGGGGGGCCTCTTCACCCTGGGGAGGTGGCGCTTCGGTGCAGTTGCACCGCCTGCGCACTGCGTGAGCTGCGTGCACTGGGCTGGGCATGGCCTTGCTAGGGCCCCTCTCCTGTTAGTGTAGCCGCCAGGCCCGGTGTGCTTTGTGTATATACCATACGTGTATATGCTGCGTGTATATGCTGCGTGTATATGTTGCGTGTGTATATGGTGCGTGTGTGTATGCGGTATGTGTGTATATGCGGTGTGTGTATGCGGTGTGTGTATATGCTGCGTGTGTATATGCTGCGTGTATATGCTGCGTGTATATGCTGCGTGTATATGCTGCGTGTGCATGCTATTTACATATGATATGTGTATGTATGCTATGTGTGTGCTATGTGTAGGCTGTGTGTGTATGCTGTGTGTGTGTATGCAACCTGAGCGAGGTGAGCGAGCAAGCGAATGGGAGAGGTTAGCGAGGTGAGGTTAGTGAGTGAGTTAGTGAGGTGAGGGTAGCGAGTGAGTGAGGTGAGGTTAGCGAGTGAGGTGAGGGTAGCAAGTGAGTGAGCGAGGTGGTGAGTGAGTGAGTGAGGTTAGCGAGTGAGTGAGTTAGCGAGTGAGTGAGCGAGGTGGTGAGTGAGGTTAGCGAGTGAGTGAGTGAGTTAGCGAGTGAGTGAGCGAGGTGGTGAGCGAGGTGGTGAGCCAAGTGGTGAGCGCTGCCTCCACTCACCCTGTGCCACGCGGCCGTATTTCCCGAACACGTCCTGCAGCGAGCGCTCGTCCGTGCCAAAGTGCAGCCCGCCCACAAACAGCTTTCCGTGGTTCTCCTGCTCCGACATCTTGGTCAGTCTACACACACACAGCACGCACACACCTAGTATACACACACAGCACGCACACACCTAATATACACACACACCACGCACACACCTAGTATACACACACAGCACGCACACACCTAGTATACACACACACTAGTATACACACACACAGAATGCACACACATCGTATATATACACACAGCATGCACACACCTAGTATACACACACACAACACTCACACACATCGTATATATTACACAGCACACACACACCTAGTATACACACACACAACTAGTATACACACACACAGCATGCACACACATCATATATATACACACAGCATGCACACACCTAGTATACACACACACAACACTCACACACATCGTATATATTACACAGCACACACACACCTAGTATACACACACACACAACTAGTATACACACACACAGCATGCACACACATTGTATATATAAACACACAGCACGCACACAGTATACATACACGTAGTATACACACACCTAGTACACACACACACACACACGTAGTATACACACGTAGATAGTAAAATAATAAAAATATCACGACGTTTCGATCGCAACACAAGCAATCGTCATCAGGTACAAAAATAGGGGGAGAGCTGCCGAGGCAGGATGTTGACAAGGTTTGAGATGGGTGTAGCCCAAGGGTCAGAAGCGAAGTGGGCGGGGCTAGTGATGAAATCTGCATGTCAATGTAAGATCGGGTAAATCGGAGAGCTACCTCCACGACGAAGAAGCTGTGGTTGTGGCCATTGTATTGTGAGAGATTAGCATGTCAATGTAAGATCGTAGAGCCACGGTGGTGGTGTTAGTGAGACATTTAACCTGTTAATGTAACACCAGATGGTCGAAAATAACTACTAACATCGGCAGGTAGGATGGAAACACACAGCCAGTTATGACTTAAACTGGTAAATAACGTCCTTCAAATGATTGCTCGGTTTGTGCCCATCTTCTCGGTTTAAATTGTGTTTATAGATCTGGATGGCTTCATGAACGAATCTTTGCTGATAGCCAGTGGGTTTGCAGAGTGGAAAAATCAATTTAGTGTGAGCCAGCCGCATTAAAACAATAATCAGCCACGGCCGAGGTATTGGTCCTACCGTGTTTCAGATCTGCCTTGTGTTCACAAACACGGTCCGAGACATAATTTCAACCGTGATGATGGGTACAAACTGAGTAATCATTGGAAAGATGTTATTAACCATGCAAAAAATATTTAACTACACATATTTGACCATCTTATTTGACAGGCAACTATTCTTTAGTTACCGTACAGTTTACTGATAGACAGCCAGTTTTGTTTTATCATGTTTAGCTTCTTTTTTCACACACTGGTTTCCTGCTTTAACTTTTACCCACCAGCAACATAGCAAAGGGCTGTTTCATCTACATGACAAAGGCTCAGTCCCATTTACAGCAGACGCACCTTAACAACTCTGGCACCTCCCAGTTCAACGAGTCTACACAACAAAGGCTCATTCCTAAAAGCAGCCTCAGCCGCACCAACCTCACAATAATAATACACAACTACGATCCAGGTGCCTACCTAGGCTCCTCCCACCTAAACCAGTATATATACAAGGACGGGTCTCTTAGAATTTCTCTTTACTTGATACAGCAATCGTGCTGTGACAGTTCCGCCTGAAGACGGAAGCTTGTGTTGCCTCCGAAACGTCGTGATTTTTATTTTAATTTTATTAATTTTATTTTTTACCTATGTGACTTTACCGAAAACACCTAAGAGTATGAATCCGAGACACGTCGCTTAGTTTCCCCAATGTAACTACTGCGGCAGACACAGCTTAGTTTGTAGACGCCGGGGTATTGCATGTCAGGGATTACATCCTTCAGAGAAGGGCTCAGATCACGAATTGTATGTACTGTGTTGAATTGAACCTGCATCTTGTGTTTGCTCATGATTTTGGAAATCTTATTGGTGACCTCCGCTATGCATGGCAACGTGATGGTTTTGATTGGGTCCTCAGATGGTTCTTTCCCAACGGTTGTTGTGTTGCAATCGAAACGTCGTGATATTTTTATTATTTTTTCTATCTCCGTGGCTTTACCAAAAGACTCAATGAATATGAATTCCTGCAGTCACGAAAGCTTAAAGTCAAGACTTACACCTAGTATAGACACACACACGTCATATACATAGTGTATACTGTATACACACATAGCACACACACAGAATCCAAAGAGCATACATACAGCATACACACAAATATGCGCATAGCATGCACTAAACTATGTTTACACTAAACCTACTGGACGCGTGAAAAAGAGCTTCATAGCTCATCGGATTTCTCCAGGATAAATGATTTGCATTGTATCGGCTGTCAGGCCCCACTGAGCTGCCGTGTAGCTGTCAGAGGCGACCACCTGGCCATCACAACTGATAGCTCAATGAAGCTTAGGCCCACAGAGACCCATACTCAGAGAGACCCACACAGATCCACACAGACACATACTCAGAGACCCACACAGACACATACTCATATAGACCCACAGAGACCTACACACACCCACACAGACCCACACTAATAGAGACTCACAGAGACCCACACAGACCCACACTTAGAGAGACCCACACAGACCCACACTAATAGAGACCCACAGACACCCACAGAGACCCACACTCAGAGACACCCACACAGACCCACACTCAGAGAGACCCACACTAATAGAGACCCACACAGACCCACACTCAGAGAGACCCACAGAGACCCACACAGACCCACACTCACAGAGACTCACACAGACCCACACGCATAGAGACCCACAGAGACCCACACTAATAGAGACCCACACAGACCCACACTCAGAGAGACCCACAGAGACCCACACAGACCCACACTCACAGAGACTCACACAGACCCACACGCATAGAGACCCACAGAGACCCACACTAATAGAGACCCACACAGACCCACACTCAGAGAGACCCACAGAGACCCACACAGACCCACACTCACAGAGACTCACACAGACCCACACGCATAGAGACCCACAGAGACCCACACTAATAGAGACCCACACAGACCCACACTCAGAGAGACCCACAGAGACCCACACAGACCCACACTCACAGAGACTCACACAGACCCACACTCATAGAGACCCACAGAGACCCACACTAATAGAGACCCACACAGACCCACACTCACAGAGACTCACACAGACCCACACTCACAGAGACTCACACAGACCCACACTAATAGAGACCCACAGACACCCACAGAGACCCACACTCAGAGACACCCACACAGACCCACACTCAGAGAGACCCACACTAATAGAGACCCACACAGACCCACACTCAGAGAGACCCACAGAGACCCACACTCACAGAGACTCACACAGGCCCACACTCATAGAGACCCACAGAGACCCACACTCACAGACTCACACAGACCCACACAGACCCACACTCATAGAGACTCACACAGACCCACACTCACACAGACCGACACTCACACAGACCCACACTCACACAGACTCACACAGACCCACACTCACAGAGACCCACACAGACCCACACTCACACAGACCCACACTCACACAGACCCACACTCACAGACACCCACACTAATAGAGACCCACAGAGACCCACACTCACAGAGACCCACACAGACCCACACACACAGACACCCACACACAGACCCCCACACACAGACACCCACACACAGACCCCCACACACAGACACCCACACACAGACCCCCACACACAGACACCCACACACAGACCCCCACACACAGACACCCACACACAGACCCCCACACACAGACACCCACACACAGACCCACACTCACAGACACCCACACTAATAGAGACCCACAGAGACCCACACTCACAGAGACCCACACAGACCCACACACACAGACACCCACACACAGACCCACACACACAGACACCCACACACACAGACACCCACCCACAGACCCCCACACACAGACACCCACACACAGACCCCCACACACAGACACCCACACACAGACCCACACTCACAGACACCCACACAGACCCACACACACAGACACCCACACAGACCCCACATAGAGACCCACATTAATAGACACCCACATTAATAGACACCCACACAGACCCACACACACAGACACCCACACACAGACCCCCACACACAGACACCCACACACAGACCCACACTCACAGACACCCACACAGACCCACACTCACAGACACCCACACAGACCCACACACACAGACCCCACATAGAGACCCACATTAATAGACACCCACACAGACCCACACACACAGACACCTACACACGGACCCCACCGCCCTCTCAGTTCGATTCCCGCTCACGGCCACCAACACCGCGAGCAGCGGCGACACGACGCGGTCGTGGGCCTCCCCTAGGTCCACTCGGCACGCAGCGGCGGCAACAGCAGCGCGAGAGAGAGAAGAGCGAGCGACAGGGCGAGGAAAGAGAGGAGAGCGGGGAGAGAGAGAAGCGAGAGAGAAGTGAGAGGAGTGAGATGGGAGAGAGAGATGGGAGAGAGAGATGGGAGACACACGCGAGAGAGAGGAGGCGAAATCGGCAGCCATTAGTGAAGGCCGCGATGGCGCTGTTACGACGGTGGCGTCAGCCCCAATCTGAGGCGATGGGACCCGCAGCGAAGCGAGTTGGGGGGCTCCGGGAGGGGGGGGGGTAGTTTGTTGTGGGTACAGCGACAAGGGGCTGGGGGGGTGGGGAGACTCACCTCGAATCGGCGTCTTCCTGCGAGTTCTGTGCTGCGTCTCTCGCTCGGTTCCTTCAGCGATGGCGTCGCGTGGCGATTCTCGACTCCGCGTCGATTCTCGGCGCTATCGACTCGCGGACGATTCTCGATTCTGCGTGGCGGTTTTTTTTCCCTCTCAAAATCCACTCGCGATTCGGTGCCCCGCCCACTCAGACCCGGGCCCCGCCTACTGAGACTCGGGCCCCGCCCACTCAGACCCGGCCCCGCCCACTCAGACCCGGGCCCCGCCTACTGAGACTCGGGCCCCGCCCACTCAGACCCGGCCCCGCCCACTAAGACCCGACCCCGCCCACTGAGACCCGGCCCCGCCCACTCAGACCCGACCCCGCCCACTGAGACCCGAGCCCCGCCCACTGAGACCCGGCCCCGCTCACTAAGACCCGACCCCGCCCACTGAGACCCGAGCCCCGCCCACTAAGACCCGACCCCGCCCACTGAGACCTGGCCCCGCCCACTAAGACCCGACCCCGCCCACTGAGACCCGGCCCCGCCCACTAAGACCCGGCCCCGCCCACTAAGACCCGGCCCCGCCCACTGAGACGTGGCCCCGCCCACTCAGACCCGGCCCCGCCCACTGAGACCTGGCCCCGCCCACTGAGACCACGCCCACTGAGACCCGGCTCCGCCCACTGAGACCCGACCCCGCCCACTGAGACGTGGCCCCGCCCACTAAGACCCGGCCCCGCCCACTAAGACCCGGCCCCGCCCACTGAGACGTGGCCCCGCCCACTCAGACCCGGCCCCGCCCACTGAGACCTGGCCCCGCCCACTGAGACCACGCCCACTGAGACCCGGCTCCGCCCACTGAGACCCGACCCCGCCCACTGAGACGTGGCCCCGCCCACTAAGACCCGGCCCCGCCCACTCAGACCCGGCCCCGCCCACTCAGACCTGGCCCCGCCCACTCAGACCTGGCCCCGCCCACTGAGACGACGCCCACTTCTGCAGTGAGCGCCGCTCAGCTGTCGCTTCTGGCTCAGCGCGACGCCTCAACAGCGGTGGGTGGCATCGTCTATTGTCTATTGTCTATCTAGTGTCTGTCTATTGTCTATCTATTGTCTGTCTATTGTCTATCTATTGTCTAGTCTCTGTCTATTGTCTAGTGTCTATCTATTGTCCATTGTCTATCTATTGTTTATTGTTTCTTGTCTATATATTGTCTATTGTCTGTCTATTGTCTAGTGTCTATCTATTGTCTAGTGTCTATCTATTGTATGTTGTCTATCTATTGTCTATCTATTGTCTATATATTGTCTATTGTCTATCTATTGTCTAGTGTCTATCTATTGTCTAGTGTCTATCTATTGTATGTTGTCTATCTATTGTCTATCTATTGTCTATATATTGTCTATTGTCTGTCTATTGTCTAGTGTCTATCTATTGTCTAGTGTCTATCTATTGTATGTTGTCTATCTATTGTCTATCTATTGTCTATATATTGTCTATTGTCTATCTATTGTCTAGTGTCTGTCTATTGTCTAGTGTCTATCTATTGTCTAGTGTCTATCTATTGTCTAGTGTCTATCTATTGTCTATTGTCTATCTATTGTCTATTGTCTATCTATTGTCTAGTGTCTATCTATTGTCTAGTGTCTATCTATTGTCTAGTGTCTATCTATTGTCTATTGTCTATCTATTGTCTATTGTCTATCTAGTGTCTGTCTATTGTCTAACTATTGTCTGTCTATTGTCTATCTATTGTCTAGTCTCTGTCTATTGTCTAGTGTCTATCTATTGTCCATTGTCTATCTATTGTTTATTGTTTCTTGTCTATATATTGTCTATTGTCTGTCTATTGTCTAGTGTCTATCTATTGTCTAGTGTCTATCTATTGTATGTTGTCTATCTATTGTCTATCTATTGTCTATATATTGTCTATTGTCTATCTATTGTCTAGTGTCTATCTATTGTCTAGTGTCTATCTATTGTATGTTGTCTATCTATTGTCTATCTATTGTCTATATATTGTCTATTGTCTGTCTATTGTCTAGTGTCTATCTATTGTCTAGTGTCTATCTATTGTATGTTGTCTATCTATTGTCTATCTATTGTCTATATATTGTCTATTGTCTATCTATTGTCTAGTGTCTGTCTATTGTCTAGTGTCTATCTATTGTCTAGTGTCTATCTATTGTCTAGTGTCTATCTATTGTCTATTGTCTATCTATTGTCTATTGTCTATCTATTGTCTATCTATTGTCTATCTATTGTCTATTGTCTATGTATTATCTAGTGTCTATCTATTGTCTAGTGTTTATCTATTGTATATTGTCTATCTATTGTCTATCTATTGTCTATATATTGTCTATTGTCTATCTATTGTCTAGTGTCTATCTATTGTCCAGTGTCTATCTATTGTATATTGTCTATCTATTGTCTAACTATTGTCTATCTATTGTCTATTGTCTTTCTATTGTCTAGTGTCTATGGTTTATTGTCTATCTATTGTCTAGTGTCTATTGTCTCTTGTCTATCTATTGTCTAGTGTCTATTGTCTCTTGTCTATCTATTGTCTATTATGTATTGTCTATTGTCTATCTATTGTCTAGTGTCTATCTATTGTCTATTGTCTATTGTCTAGTGTCTATTGTCTCTTGTCTATTGTCTATTGTCTATCTATTGCCTATTGTCTATTTATTGTCTATTGTCTATCTATTGTCTATTGTCTATTTATTGTCTATTGTCTAGTGTCTATCTATTGTCTATTGTCTATCTATTGTCTGTTGTCTATATATTGTCTATTGTCTAGTGTCTATTGTCTATCTATTGTCTATTGTCTATCTATTGTCTATTGTCTAGTGTCTATCTATTGTATATTGTCTATCTATTGTCTATCTATTGTCGATTGTCTATCTATTGTCTAGTGTCTATGTATTGTCTAGTGTCTATCTATTGTATATTGTCTATCTATTGTCTATCTATTGTCTATTGTCTATCTATTGTCTAGTGTCTATCTATTGTATATTGTCTATCTATTGTCTATCTATTGTATATTGTCTATCTATTGTCTATCTATTGTCTATTGTCTATCTATTGTCTATTGTCTATCTATTGTCTATTGTCTATCTATTGTCTAGTGTCTATCTATTGTATATTGTCTATCTATTGTCTATCTATTGTCTATTGTCTATCTATTGTCTATTGTCTATCTATTGTCTAGTGTCTATCTATTGTCTAGTGTCTATCTATTGCATATTGTCTATCTATTGTCTATCTATTGTCTATCTATTGTCTATTGTCTAGTGTCTATCTATTGTCTAGTGTCTATCTATTGTATATTGTCTATCTATTGTCTATCTATTGTCTATCTATTGTCTATCTATTGTCTATTGTCTAGTGTCTATCTATTGTCTAGTGTCTATCTATTGTATATTGTCTATCTATTGTCTATCTATTGTCTAACTAGTGTCTATCTATTGTCTATTGTCTGTCTATTGTCTATTGTCTATCTATTGCCTATTGTCTATTTATTGTCTATTGTCTATATATTGTCTATTGTCTAGTGTCTATTGTCTATCTATTGTCTATTGTCTATCTGTTGTCTATAATGTATTGTCTATTGTCTATCTATTGTCTATTATCTATATATTGTCTATTGTCTATCTATTGTCTATTGTCTATCTATTGTCTATTGTCTAGTGTCTATTGTCTAGTGTCTATTGTCTATTGTCTATCTATTGTCTATTGTCTATCTATTGTCTATTGTCTATCTATTGTCTATTGTCTATCTATTGTCTAGTGTCTATCTATTGTATATTGTCTATCTATTGTCTATCTATTGTCTATTGTCTATCTATTGTCTAGTGTCTATCTATTGTCTAGTGTCTATCTATTGTATATTGTCTATCTATTGTCTATTTATTGTCTATTGTCTATCTATTGTCTATTGTCTATCTATTGTCTAGTGTCTATCTATTGTCTAGTGTCTATCTATTGCATATTGTCTATCTATTGTCTATCTATTGTCTATTGTCTAGTGTCTATCTATTGTCTAGTGTCTATCTATTGTATATTGTCTATCTATTGTCTATCTATTGTCTAACTATTGTCTATCTATTGCATATTGTCTATCTATTGTCTATCTATTGTCTATCTATTGTCTATTGTCTAGTGTCTATCTATTGTCTAGTGTCTATCTATTGTATATTGTCTATCTATTGTCTATCTATTGTCTAACTAGTGTCTATCTATTGTCTATTGTCTGTCTATTGTCTATTGTCTATCTATTGCCTATTGTCTATTTATTGTCTATTGTCTATATATTGTCTATTGTCTAGTGTCTATTGTCTATCTATTGTCTATTGTCTATCTGTTGTCTATAATGTATTGTCTATTGTCTATCTATTGTCTATTATCTATATATTGTCTATTGTCTAGTGTCTATTGTCTATTGTCTATCTATTGTCTATTGTCTATCTATTGTCTATTGTCTATCTATTGTCTATTGTCTATCTATTGTCTAGTGTCTATCTATTGTATATTGTCTATCTATTGTCTATCTATTGTCTATTGTCTATCTATTGTCTAGTGTCTATCTATTGTCTAGTGTCTATCTATTGTATATTGTCTATCTATTGTCTATTTATTGTCTATCTATTGTCTATCTATTGTCTATTGTCTATCTATTGTCTAGTGTCTATCTATTGTCTAGTGTCTATCTATTGCATATTGTCTATCTATTGTCTATCTATTGTCTATCTATTGTCTATTGTCTAGTGTCTATCTATTGTCTAGTGTCTATCTATTGTATATTGTCTATCTATTGTCTATCTATTGTCTAACTATTGTCTATCTATTGCATATTGTCTATCTATTGTCTATCTATTGTCTATCTATTGTCTATTGTCTAGTGTCTATCTATTGTCTAGTGTCTATCTATTGTATATTGTCTATCTATTGTCTATCTATTGTCTAACTAGTGTCTATCTATTGTCTATTGTCTGTCTATTGTCTATTGTCTATCTATTGCCTATTGTCTATTTATTGTCTATTGTCTATATATTGTCTATTGTCTAGTGTCTATTGTCTATCTATTGTCTATTGTCTATCTGTTGTCTATAATGTATTGTCTATTGTCTATCTATTGTCTATTATCTATATATTGTCTATTGTCTAGTGTCTATTGTCTATCTATTGTCTATTGTCTATCTATTGTCTATTGTCTATCTATTGTCTATTGTCTATCTATTGTCTATTGTCTATTTAATGTTTATTGTCTAGTGTCTATCTATTGTCTATTGTCTATCTATTGTCTATTGTCTATATATTGTCTATTGTCTATATATTGTCTATTGTCTAGTGTCTATTGTCTAGTGTCTATTGTCTATTGTCTATCTATTGTCTATTGTCTATCTATTGTATATTGTCTATCTATTGTATATTGTCTATCTATTGTCTATTGTCTATCTAGTGTCTATTGTCTCTTGTCTATCTATTGTCTATTGTCTATTGTCTATTTATTGTCTATTGTCTATATATTGTATATTGTCTATCTATTGTCTATTGTCTATCTAGTGTCTATTGTCTATCTATTGTATATTGTCTATCTATTGTCTATCTATTGTCTATCTATTGTCTAGTGTCTATCTATTGTCTAGTGTCTATCTATTGTATATTGTCTATCTATTGTCTAGTGTCTATCTATTGTCTAGTGTCTATCTATTGTCTATTGTCTATCTAGTGTCTATTGTCTATCTATTGTATATTGTCTATCTATTGTCTATCTATTGTCTATCTATTGTCTAGTGTCTATCTATTGTCTAGTGTCTATCTATTGTCTATTGTCTATCTATTGTCTAGTGTCTATCTATTGTCTATATATTGTATATTGTCTAGTGTCTATTGTCTCTTGTCTATCTATTGTCTATTATGTATTGTCTATTGTCTATCTATTGTCTAGTGTCTATCTATTGTCTATTGTCTATCTATTGTCTATTGTCTGTCTATTGTCTATTGTCTATCTATTGTCTATTGTCTAGTGTCTATTGTCTATCTATTGTCTATTGTCTAGTGTCTATTGTCTATCTATTGTCTATTGTCTATCTAGTGTCTATTGTCTATCTATTGTATATTGTCTATCTATTGTCTATTGTCTAGTGTCTATTGTCTATTGTCTATCTATTGTCTATTGTCTATATATTGTCTATTGTCTATTGTCTATCTATTGTCTATTGTCTAGTGTCTATTGTCTATCTATTGTCTATTGTCTATCTATTGTCTATCTATTGTCTATGTATTGTCTATTGTCTATCTATTGTCTATCTATTGTCTATCTATTGTCTATTGTCTATCTATTGTCTATTGTCTATATATTGTCTATCTATTGTCTATTGTCTGTCTATTGTCTATCTATTGTCTATTGTCTATCTATTGTCTAGTGTCTATCTATTGTCTATCTATTGTCTATTTTCTATCTATTGTCCATTGTCTATCTATTGTCTATCTATTGTCTATCTATTGTCTATTGTCTATCTATTGTCTATTGTCTATCTATTGTCTATTGTCTGTCTATTGTCTATTGTCTATCTATTGTCTATTGTCTATCTATTGTCTGTCTATTGTCTATTGTCTATCTATTGTCTATTGTCTATCTATTGTCTATTGTCTATCTATTGTCTATTGTCTGTCTATTGTCTGTCTATTGTCTATCTATTGTCTGTCTATTGTCTATCTATTGTCTATTGTCTATCTATTGTCTATCTATTGTCTATTGTCTGTCGTCTATTGTCTCTCTATTGTCTATTGTCTATCTATTGTCTATTGTCTATCTATTGTCTATTGTCTAGTGTCTATTGTCTATCTATTGTCTATTGTCTGTCTATTGTCTATTGTCTATCTAATGTAAATCTATTGTCTATTGTCTATCTATTGTCTATTGTCTAGTGTCTATTGTCTATTGTCTCTCTATTGTCTATTGTCTATCTATTGTCTATTGTCTATCTATTGTCTATTGTCTAGTGTCTATTGTCTATCTATTGTCTATTGTCTGTCTATTGTCTATTGTCTATCTATTGTCTATTGTCTATGTATTGTCTATTGTCTATCTATTGTCTATCTATTGTCTATCTATTGTCTATTGTCTATCTATTGTCTATCTATTGTCTATTGTCTGTCTATTGTCTGTCTATTGTCTATCTATTGTCTAGTGTCTATTGTCTATCTATTGTCTATTGTCTATCTATTGTCTAGTGTCTGTCTATTGTCTATTGTCTATCTAATGTAAATCTATTGTCTATCTATTGTCTATCTATTGTCTATTGTCTATCTATTGTCCATTGTCTATCTATTGTCTATCTATTGTCTATCTATTGTCTATTGTCTATCTATTGTATATTGTCTAGTGTCTATTGTCTATCTATTGTCTATCTATTGTCTATTGTCTATCTATTGTCTATTGTCTATCTATTGTCTATTGTCTATCTATTGTCTATCTATTGTCTATTGTCTATCTATTGTCTGTCTATTGTCTATCTATTGTCTGTCTATTGTCTATCTATTGTCTATTGTCTATCTATTGTCTATCTATTGTCTATTGTCTGTCTATTGTCTATTGTCTATCTATTGTCTATTGTCTATCTATTGTCTATCTATTGTCTATTGTCTATCTATTGTCTGTCTATTGTCTATTGTCTATCTATTGTCTGTCTATTGTCTATTGTCTATCTATTGTCTATTGTCTATCTATTGTCTATCTATTGTCTATTGTCTATCTATTGTCTATCTATTGTCTATTGTCTATCTATTGTCTATCTATTGTCTATTGTCTATCTATTGTCTGTCTATTGTCTATCTATTGTCTATTGTCTATCTATTGTCTATCTATTGTCTATTGTCTATCTATTGTCTATCTATTGTCTATTGTCTGTCTATTGTCTGTCTATTGTCTATCTATTGTCTGTCTATTTTCTAGTGTCTATTGTCTGTCTATTGTCTATTGTCTATCTATTGTCTATTGTCTATCTATTGTCTATCTATTGTCTATTTATTGTCTATTGTCTGTCTATTGTCTGTTTATTGTCTGTCTATTGTTTATTGTCTGTCTATTGTCTATTGTCTATCTATTGTCTATCTATTGTCTATCTATTGTCTATCTATTTTATGTCTATTGTCTATTGTCTGTCTATTGTCTATTGTCTATCTATTGTCTATCTATTGTCTATTGTCTGTCTATTGTCTATCTATTGTCTGTCTATTGTTTAGTGTCTATTGTCTGTCTATTGTCTATTGTCTATCTATTGTCTATTGTCTATCTATTGTCTATCTATTGTCTATTTATTGTCTATTGTCTGTCTATTGTCTATATATTGTATGTCTATTGTCTATTGTCTGTCTATTGTCTATTGTCTATCTATTTATGTCTATTGTCTATTGTCTGTCTATTGTCTATATATTGTATGTCTATTGTCTATCTATTGTCTATTGTCTATCTATTTTATGTCTATTGTCTATTGTATGTCTATTGTCTATCTATTGTCTATTGTCTATCTATTTTATGTCTATTGTCTGTCTATTGTCTATCTATTGTATGTCTATTGTCTATTGTCTGTCTATTGTCTATTGTCTGTCTATTGATGGCAAGGAGTCTTTAGGAGAGAAATCGTCGTCTCGTGTTCACGGCGCTCGGTGGGAGGGCGCCCCATCGCCCCCTAGTGGACGAACCGCGCCAGGCCACTGCTGCTGATGATGATGATGCTGATGGTGCTGATGATGGTGCTGATGGTGCTGATGATGGTGGAGATGGTGGTGATGATGGTGGTGATGATGCTGATGGTGGTGATGATGCTGATGGTGGTGATGATGATGAAGCTGATGATGCTGATGATGGTGGTGATGGTGCCGAAGGTGGTGCTGATGATGGTGTTGATGATGGTGCTGATGGTGCTGATGATGGTGGAGATGGTGCTGATGATGCTGATGGTGGTGATGATGCTGATGGTGGTGATGATGATGGTGCTGATGATGCTGATGAGGGTGGTGATGGTGCCGAAGGTGGTGCTGATGATGGTGGTGATGGTGCTGATGGTGGTGATGATGGTGCTGATGGTGGTGATGATGGTGCTGATGGTGGTGATGATTCTGAAGATAATGGTGCTGATGCTGATGATGTTGCTGATGATGATGGTGCTGCTGCTGATGATGGTGCTGATCGTGCTGATGATGCTGATGATGGTGCTGATGATGGTGCTGATGGTGCTGATGCTGATGATGCTGATGGTGCTGATGCTGATGATGCTGATCATGCTGATCATGCTGATCATACTGATGGTGCTGATGATGCTTCTGCTGATGATGCTGCTGCCTACAGAGCCATGCACGAGGAGGCATTGCTGCTGCAGTTCAACTCTCTGCACTTCTGGAAGCTGCCGCTCCCGGAGATCGGCTCCGACGACCTCCAGACAATCAGTGAGAGGGAGGGAGGGTGGGAGTGTGTGACAGAGAGAGTTTGTGTGGGGAGCGGTGGCTAGGAGATGTTCACTACCTCGCCTGGTGTACAGGAGGTCGTGGGTTCAATACCGACCCTGACGATGCCTGCTGCTGTATATTTGGAGTTTGCATCTCTCTTTCTCATCATCATCATCATAGTGGCTATGAGATGTTGACTACCTCGCCTGGTGTACAGGAGGTCGTGGGTTCGATTCCGACCCTGACGCCTGCTGCTGTATATTTGGAGTTTGCGTGTCTCTCTCTTATCAGCACAATAACAACGGTAGGAGGCTGCTAGAATTGTTGTGCAGCCCATGGGCTTGTAATTACCAACACGCTGTTCTGGCATCGGCATATCCACGAAACGTCATGGATGCATGCCGGGTCCAAGCAAGAACATTTGCTGGATTATATAGTGATGAAACAGCAGATGCGGGCCCATGTCTTTGACACCAGGACCTACCGTGGAGCTGATCTGCCCACTGACCATCGACTTGTCATCTGTAAGATGCGCCTGCCATTCTTCCACTCCGGTGGTGGGTGTACACCCAGGACCCCATTCAAACCCATAGTGGCATGGTCTCAGGTAGCTGATGAAAGTTGAAAGCGAGAATTTCATCATCACTTGCGGCTGGGGTTGGCATCATCCCCCAGTCTTGATGTCGAGGGGAGATGGGCGAGGTTTAGGATTGTGGCTCATGTAGCTGCAATGACTGCTTAGGGTACACGGTCCAAACCTCCCCAGAGACCCTGGCTGACAGAGGAGGTGTTCAGGCTGGCTGAGGAAAAGCGACAGGCCCACTCTCATCGTCTACAGCATCCCACGTCAGAGAATGAGGAGGCTTACCGCAGCCTTCGCTCGGAGGTTCGGAGAGCCGTGAGGCGCTGCAAGGATGGGTGGTGGTTGCGGGTTGCTGAGGAGATGGAGTCTGCCTCAGTGGCCCGCGATCACAAATCGCTATTTATATCCATCAACAAAAGTAACCTGCAGCGCCACCCCTATCACCATCATTAGGGGAAAAAATGGTGATCCAATCTCTGACCACCAGGAACACGTCTGTGAGGTTTTTGGAAAACATGGGGCAAAGTGGGGATGACCCTTCTGAGGCTGCGGTGCATCAAACGTTGGAAGAAGTTTTCACCCCTTGTGAGTGGCTTGCTGAGGTGCCATCTGTTGAGGAAGTACTTAAGGTGATCCAGAGTCTGAGACCAGGAAAAGGCACCGGGCAGAGATGATCTCTCAAGCAAAATGCTGAGGGAGGGTGGCGTTTGTCCACAGACTGCTCTACATGACATCAAAACAACAGTCTGGACCACTGGATGGGTTCCGCAGGACTGGAAGGATGTCCTGGTGGTCCTCTTTAAGAAGGGGGACCGCACAGACTGTAACAACTACAGGGGCATCTCACTCCTGAGTGTGCCGGGAAAGGCCCTGGCAAGGATTATTCAACATTGCCTTGCTAGGTACGCTGAGGAGAGGCTTGCGGAGCCCCAATGCGGTTTCAGGAAAAGGCGGTCCTGCACAGATGCCATATTTTCTGTCCGTCTGTTACAGCAGAGGTGTAGGAAATCCCAACAAGACCTACATCTCTGCTTTATTGACCTGGTCAAGGCCGATGATACAATCAGTAGGCCTGGGCTCTGGGTTGTTCTTCGTGCTTTTGCAGTCCCTGATTCTCTGTTCACAATCATTAAGGACCTTCATGATGGTGAGTGGGCCCGGGTAAAACTACATGGCTGGGAGTCGGAGCAATTCCCTTTTCACCTTGGGGTGCGACATGGATCTCCTCTGGCTCCCACATTATTTAACATCTATTTCGACAACGTAGTTTGTGAAGCCATCATTTGCTGTACCGGAGGAATTTCCATCTGTTACAGATACAATGGGAGGCTGATAGATTCCTGGGTACGGTCAATGGATGGCTCCCTATTTGTCAACCCTGTTACGTATGCCGATGATCTGGTAATTGCTGCTCACTCAGAGGAGGGGTTAGAAATGCTGCTGCTGAACCTGGAGCATGTCACTAAGAGGTGGGGCCTTATCATCAGCCCCACCAAAACTAAGCACCTGCCTGGGTATTTTGTACCATCGGACACTCCACCCCCACAACTCCCAATCGGTGATGGGGCAGTTGTGTAGAGAGTGGAGAGTTCCCCATACCTGGGCAGTGTAATCATGACCGGCTCTGGTTTGACAGCAGAGGTCTCACTCCGAATCAGTTGAGTGGCATAATCATTTCATCGGTTGCGTAATGCTGTGTGGAAGCTACCTGGTCTGTCGCTCCGCACGAAGCTTCAGGTCTTCTCGGCCACAGTAATTCCTTTCCTTCTCTACGCTTGCAAAACGTGGACCCCACTAATGGAACATCTTCGCTGGTTAGAAACATTTAGGCTGGCCTGCCTACGATCGATCCATCCTGGGTTTAACCAGGCTGGATTGTGTGAGGAGCTCACAAATCCTTGAAAGATCTGGACAAAGTCCCATCGGTGAGCTCCTCCGGCAGGCAAGGCTGCGTTGGCTGGGTCATGTAGCCTGCATGCCCACCCACCGCATGCCTAAACAGCTTTTGTTCGGCTCGAGGGGGCTATACGGGTGTGATACGGGCTAGAGACGAGATGGAGTGATGTGGTACGGGAGGATGTGGAGCTGAGTGGACTTGCCAATGACTGGTACCAGCGGTGTCAAGATCGGCCTCTGTGGAGGCAGTTGAACGGAGGGCGGAGGAGCGACGCTCATAACAACGAGCGGAGCGCCGGGTAGCTAAAGCACAGTGAGTTGGCACAGGTGGTGCATCAGCCAGTCGTCTCAGTCAGTCGACCTGTGGCACCTGCTGGGTCTGCCCCATGACCTCCTGCCAGCGGGCGTTCGACATTTCACGTGGCCTCAAGGTGCACGTGGCCTGGCACAAGCGTCGTGGTGACGTCACCGCCACTTAGTGGCGAATGGCGGTTGTTGTTGTTGTGTATCTCTCCATCTCTGTCTGTCCCTCTGTGTCTGGATGCCTCTCTCTCTCTCTCTCCCTTCCTGCCCCTCTCCCTACAGGCGACCCCCACCAAGGGACTACCCCCCCCCAATCTCCCCCCCCTCCCCCCGTGCTCCCAGGCCGTGCCCCCCACTCGACTCCGCGGATCGCCGCCTCCGCCCCCCACGACTTCGGCACCGCCACCTACTGGCGGCAACCGCTGCCCGCGGTCGACCCGGCCGAGATGGATCAGCTGCTGGCGGGACGGGGGGCCGGGGGGGGCTCGGGGTGGGGGGCGGGGCTGAGGAGGGAGGGAGTGGGCGCTTAGCGGTGGGCCAGGAGATGGTGACTCCCTCGCCTGGTACGCAGGGAGTCGCCATCGCGCGACACGATCACCGCTCGACGCGTCGTGTACCCCATTGGCGCTGCGAACACAACGCGCAGCGTTAGAAAGAGAACAGCAGACAGAACAGGGTGGGTCCAGATGTCTTGTGCCCCCCCCCATTAATTGGGCCATAGAATTTAATTATTTATTTTAAATTATTTTGCAGTAAATATCTCTCTCATTTTTTCACGGTGACTAAGGGATGTTAACTACCTCGCCTGGTACACAGGAGGTCGTGGGTTTAATCCCGACCCTGACGATGCCTGCTGCTGTATATTTGGAGTTTGCATTTCTCTCTCTCATCATCATCACGGTGGCCAGGAGATGTTAACTACCTCGCCTGGGACACAGGAGGTCGTGGGTTCCATCCCGGACCCTGACGATGCCTGAGTGAATGGGTGAGATGTTAACTACCTCACCTGGTACACAGGAGGTCGTGGGTTCGATCCCGGACCCTGACGATGCCTGAGTGAGTGGGTGAGATGTTAACTACCTCGCCTGGTACACAGGAGGTTGTGGGTTCGATCCCGGACCCTGACGATGCCTGAGTGAGTGGGTGAGATGTTAACTACCTCGCCTGGTACACAGGAGGTTGTGGGTTCCATCCCGGACCCTGACGATGCCTGAGTGAGTGGGTGAGATGTTAACTACCTCGCCTGGTACACAGGAGGTCGTGGGTTCCATCCCGGACCCTGACGATGCCTGAGTGAGTGGGTGAGATGTTAATTACCTCGCCTGGTGTACAGGAGGTCGTGGGTTCGATGCCTGCTGCTGCTGCTGTATATTTGGAGCCTGCGCCTCTCTCCCCGTGGTGGTCACAGCGTGGATTGTTCTCCGAGTCATCCTGTTCCCCCCACTCCACACATTTAGAATCAATGTCTCTACACGATCAGAGGAATTTGGCTGGGGCTATGAATTCCCACACGACCATGATGATGATGACGATGATGACGATGATGATGATGACGATGATGATTGATGATGATGATTGATGATGATGATGATGACGATGATGGTGATGATGATTGATGATGATGATTGATGATGATGATGATGACGATGATGATGATGATGACGATGATGATGATGATGATGATTGATGATGACGATGATGATGATTGATGATGATGATTGATGATGATGATGATGACGATGATGATGACGATGATGACGATGATGATGATGACGATGATGACGATGATGATGACGATGATGACGATGACAATGATTGATGATGACGATGATAACGATGATGATGATGACGATGACGACGATGATGATGATGGTGATGATGACGATGACAATCCACCACTTGGTTGCGCAGATGTCATCTGTGATGACCAGATGGTCACTTCTAAGAGCTACGCAGCAGCCCAGCGGGGCCTTACACCGGCTAACAGGCACACGCACACACACTAGTTCATAGTTTATTATTTTACAGGGAACCTCGGCTCTGTCTGTCTCTCTCTCCATTCCGCACAGCTCTTCTGGGTCTCTGTGGGTCTCTATGAGTATGAGTCTCTGTGGGTCTCTGTGGGTCTCTGAGTATGAGTCTCTGTGGGTCTCTGTGGGTCTCTATGAGTATGAGTCTCTGTGGGTCTCTGTGGGTCTCTATGAGAACGTGACCCCACGTGCCCTGGTACTAGCAAACACAGAGGTGGCGGGCGGGGGGGCGGACAAATGGCGATTGTTTAACTTGCAATGACTCTCAGACAATACACAATAAATTATTAAGAACAATGTTGTCGTCTTACCTTCGATGATGGTGGTGGTGGTGGTGGTGATGGATTTGTCGACGATGGTGAAGGTGGTTGATGGTGGCGAGAAATTCAAGAGGATTACTCTGTCTCTCTCTGCATATCTCTCTCTCGCTATCTCTCTCTTTCTCTCTCTCCTCTCGGGAGATGCCAGAGGTTCGTTTGACGGCAAGCCAGCCGTGCGTGCTGGTTTTCATTAGAAATGCTCCGATACGCGAGGCATTGCCCTTGTACTGGTCGCCGTTTGGAGTTGTTCTCTGGTCTGACGCTGGCGGTGAGACTTGGCCCATAAAGAAGGCTGCCGATGTCTCTGGTGGAGGACGATCAGCTCCAAAGGCAACGGCTGCAGACTATTATCACGGCGTGTTCTGTTTGCTTGTTCACCACGAGCATTAAGTGTGTGTGGTGAACGTAGTCATTTCATTCCTTGCAAAATATAGAATCGATTTCGTGTTTGAACTTCTTAACACAACTCCTGTTGTATTACTGCCCGAATAGGTAAAACATTGGTCGCGAAAGCCCCCGTGTTAAACTGACCTATTATTTGAATTTGTTTTGATACTTTGATACCGGAGAAACGGTCCCGAATCGAACCGATCTGGGCAAGTTTCGTTTACGCGACAATTGGCCGTGTCGGGTGGTGGCGGCCTTCAACGACACGGCACTCATGCAGTGCCGGGCGAAGATAGTGCGGAGCCTGTAGCATGATGTTAGAAAGCGGCCCTAAATAAAAAAAGTAAGTATTAAAACATGTAAAATGTTTCACTTGCACAGTAAAGTAATTGTATTTTTTTCATTTGCTATACAGCCAGATAGTACGACAAATCGCTAACCTTAGACACCCAATCTTGTTTTGCGATCGAAACGTCGTGATTTGTTTTATTTTATTTCTAACTACGTGACTTTACCGAAACAACCAAAGAGCTTAGACACCCAGTACTATAGTAATAGACAGTGGCGGCTCCTGCAAAATCTCTCAGGGGGGGCAAATGTTTGGATGATTGATAAGGATAAGGTCCACCCATGCAATGGATAAATTAACAGCTTAAGCATGTGTAGTAAGTATTTAGGAGGCTTGGACGACGGGGTCGGAGGCACACTTATTTATTAACACCAACTTGTGCACAGTAACGGGTACACACAGTACTTAAGGGGGTATCGTCCCCTTCACTCGGCTACAGGGAGACACAACATCTAACCCCGCTAACCTACGCCCGAGTCCTCCACTACGGAGCTAGGGGAGGCTACCTATCCCAGCCCTGGTCAAGCTGGGATCCCGGCACCCTGAGTATCCAGACCGGCTCTTATAAGAACGTCAGTCTGGGCTCTCGGGGCCACGCCACCGGCTTGCCCTGGTCGGCCCTTACAAGGACAGCGAGCCAGGGGAGTTCCGGGGCCTATTCTAGCTGGTCTTCCGTCTTCGCTGGTTTAAGCTAACACTCGACCTCGAGCCCTCCGGCTCACCACCTTTTATAGTACTCGGCCCCCCCGGGAGGGGCCCGTGGGGGATGAGTGCGGACGTCGGTGTGAGCACCTCCTCTGTGTACAGCTCTAACCACGCCCCTTGTGTTTGTTAGCCATCCGTGCCCATGCATAATTACACCTCTACACATGTAAAGGCAACTTCACTACTTTAATATTAATGAAAAATAAAGTGACTCTTACAATACATCTCCTTGTTTGTTTCTATACTCACTATTATTACACTGCTTACATCACATTACTACTATTACACTGCTTACTTATACTGAAATGTTGCTCTTCTCTCTTTCAAAGTAGCAAAGTGATCAATTACTCTCTCATTGAAAGCAGGCGTGTTCCTGACTAGTTCCCTCTCCATGGAAAGCATAGCCAGTGCATTCAGACGTTCCTGTCCCATTACATTTCTCAGGAATGTCTTGCTTCTCTTTAAGGTTGTAAAACACATTGACAGATGTAAAGGGTGACCAATAGCATTAATTTTTGAAAAAATATGGAGATAAAAAATATGGACACCTCTCAGCTTCAGCAGTTGTCATGGGAGTGGTTATGAGGATGTTCAACAGAGCAACAGTCTCTGAAAAAGTATCCTGAAGGTTGTACTTCAGCAAAACCTGGTACAGCGCCAGTGCACCACAGCAGCCCTTGAATTCTGGACTCTCATAAATGAGAGACAGTTCAGTCTTCAGCTTCGCCTTAGTTAACATTGGGTATGCCCTGACAGTGATGTTCAGAGCCTCAACAGGGAATGTATGGCCATGCTGTTGAAACATCTCTCCTTGTAGCAGCGTGGCACTTACAAGGTGGTCGGTAAAGGAGAACCTTTCTTTGGTGTGGACCAAGATTGTGTCGCAGACCTGACAAAAGAAATACATTTATTTTAGTTATAAAATAAATTATTTATTATAATATAAATATGGAGATACAAGGTTTCCATCCCGACAGCAACAATGTATCAGGCAGAATCCATATTTTATATCTCCATATTTTTCAAAAATTAATGCTATTGGTCACCCTTTACATCTGTCAATGTGTTTTACAAATATTTAACCAATGAAAAGCATTAAAAGAGCTTGGAAATTATTTTGGGGAAAAAACAGGTTTTCTTTCGTTTCCTGAAAAGTAACAGTTTTGGACATACAAGGCTTCCGTCCGACAGCGATGATTTGTGTGTGTGTGTTATTACGTTAATTAACATTTTACCAAAATTCAAGCTCAAATGGAGTTTGACAAGGTTTTTGACCAGTAAATGTATTTTCAATCCACTCAGATAGTTTCTTTTATTAAATATTCCACTAGGTGGCGACAAATAATATTGTTGACTGAAACGTGCTTATGTATGATGACGTAAGCACGTTAGTGCGAGCCCTCCCGGAACCCATAGAGAATGCATTGCAGCGCCTGCCGTTCGAAAAAAAACATCTTTGAATGTAAGTCTATGGGAACACTTTGGGCGATTCTCAGCCGGAGTGAAATCGCCCAAAAAGAGGCGGTACTCCACAGAACGTGACATGACGCTGATTGGACTATATCCAGAGGCACAGTGACGGCTAGCGTAACTCTGGTTGAATGACATTGTGAATGTGATTGAAAAAGTCCCTTTCACACTTTGGTGGTGCGTCGCCCAATCGCCCTAATGAAGAAACCGCCCCTGGTAATAGAGCAAGTGCAGAATCACTATACCGGAATTGATAGCTTGAAAGCGTTAAGCACGGGGCCTTTGAAAGTTCTGGGCCCGTAGCTACTACTACATATGTAGTAGTACATATGTAATATGTACTACGACATATGTACTACTACATATGTGCCACTAAATATGTGTACTACATAGTAGTACATATATGTAGTAGCTACTACAAATATGTACTACTACATATGTAGGAGTACATATATGTAGTAGTACATATGTAGTAGCACATATGTAGTAGCTACCAGGATCATCCGAAACTACATTTATGCCTCACGTGATGTAACCCAAAATAACTCCCCTTGCCCCCCTCTATCATGGATCATCAACCACGGCATGATGCTTCATGGTGGTGGTTGTTGATGCTCCGGTGTTCCTCGCAGTAGCCCATCACGGACTGTGGGGCCACGTGGTGTTCGTAGCGAGTCGCGAGCAGCACCAATGTCATGGCGACTTCCGCGACACGTCGTGGAGAGGGAACTCTTCTTGATTTCACAGACGGGCACAACACAGGCCAACTCACACAGAGCACAGACTCACACAGAGACCCACAGACTGACACAGAGACCCACAGACTCACAGAGACCCACAGACTCACACAGAGACCCACAGACTTATACAGATATCAATAGAATCACACAGAGACCCACAGACTCACACAGAGACCCATAGACTCACGTAGAGACCCATAGACTCACATAGAGACCCATAGACTCACATAGAGACCCATAGACTGACACAGAGACCCACAGACTCACACAGAGACCTATTGACTCACATAGAGACCCATAGACTCACACAGAGACCCACAGACTCACAGAGACCCACAGATTCACACAGAGACCCATAGACTCACACCGAGACCCACCACACAGAGACCCACAGACTCACATAGAGACCCATAGGCTGACACAGAGACCCACAGACTCACACAGAGACCCACAGACTGACACAGAGACCCACAGACTCACACAGAGACCCACAGACTCTCACAGAGTTCCATAGAATCGCACAAAGACCCACAGACTCACACAGAGACCCATTGACTCACATAGAGACCCATAGACTCACACAGAGACCCACAGACTCACAGAGACCCACAGACTCACACAGAGACCTATGGACTCACATAGAGACCCATAGACTCACATAGAGACCCATAGACTGACACAGAGACCCACAGACTCACACAGAGACCCACAGACTCTCACAGAGTTCCATAGAATTACAGAGACCCACAGATTTACACAGAGACCCACAGACTCACACAGAGACCTATGGACTCACATAGAGACCCATAGACTCATATAGAGACCCATAGACTGACACAGAGACCCACAGACTCACACAGAGACCCACAGACTCTCACAGAGTTCCATAGAATCACAGAGACCCACAGATTTACACAGAGACCCATAGACTCACACCGAGACCCACCACACAGAGACCCACAGACTAACATAGAGACCCATAGGCTGACACAGAGACCCACAGACTCACACAGAGACCCACAGACTGACACAGAGACCCACAGACTCACACAGAGACCCACAGACTCTCACAGAGTTCCATAGAATCACACAGAGACCCACAGACTCATACAGAGACCCATTGACTCACATAGAGACCCATAGACTCACACAGAGACCCACAGACTCACAGAGACCCACAGACTCACACAGAGACCTATGGACTCACATAGAGACCCATAGACTCACATAGAGACCCATAGACTGACACAGAGACCCACAGACTCACACAGAGACCCACAGACTCTCACAGAGTTCCATATAATTACAGAGACCCAC